AAACGGAAACCGGTTCTTAACAAAACGTGTATGGTTACAATTTATATACAAAGATGTCATTCAAATACAGAAATCTTAAGAAACCTTATTTCTAAAGTTGGTAAAAATATTAAATCTCATATCTGAACCATTATTTGAATTGAATACTAATATTATTCATCTATTTTAAAAAGGGTGCGAGCGGTAATGCTAAATTATGGCACCATTTATATTTGTCAAATCACCAAGTGACGTATGGGGTAAATAATAATTTCCGTCCCTGTGTTATCTGAAAGGATGATAATTATGATGCCTTTGACAACAAAGTTTACATTGAATTTTTTTTTTTTGATGATGACAAAAGCATATAACCAGCCAGTTGTATAGGGTACTTATTTTTTTTGTTTTTGTGTATATAGTCTAAATAAAGTATTTATTGTATATAAGATTTTATGGTGTATCATAAAAATGTATTAAGAAATCATGGTTAAAGTCATAATTTAAAGCGCAGTACGGTGACGCATTTGGCGACTGTATAGATGATTAAAGTTTAATTTAGATGTTTTCGGCACGTGCGTCACGCCGCAGTCGCGTGTTACCCTTCATCGCAATCAAAAGTTTATTATTCGCAACTACAAATTTTAAAATGTACCATAAATTATTTATGTATGTTATTCTTTACTTCTGTACTTAAAACCACCTGATAGTAAAAGTCATCATTGATTTAAAAACTACGGACTGCATTTGATTTAAGTATTGTATAAGATTTGTTTATGATAAAAATATATCAAATAATGTATATTACCTTTTTCAAATGAACTTTAATATTAACAAATTATATTAAATATAAATTTATTATTAGTGGAATAACTTTCCTGATTTCTTAGTAAGCTAGTAATTAATTGAAGGATTTTTTGAATGGGGTAAAGTATTGGTGGTTACAAAATTATTAATTGAATTTTAATAAAACTTAACTATATGTAAGAAAGGTACACTAAATAATTTTTTTGTAATTTATCAAATTTAATAAAATCTTTTATTTAATGTGGTCTACCTGTGGGTTCGTAACAAAATTTTTCATACATTTTTTTCTCTCATACTATTTATATACTATTTATTCCATATTTGTTTCAACAGTTCAACAAAGAGTCAACTCCAAAACGGTTAGGAAACTGGCAGGTTCCACGTTGGGCGCCAACGCGGGCACGCCCTTTGGAAATGAGGCCTAATCCTAAACCCATTTGTGACCTGAACGGACACTTCTTACCAGGTGCACCTCGAGGTTCATCTAGATGTTTCGGACATTTCACTGGGACTTGGGATTTACCGAGAAAAATAACCAGAAAAGTTGGTAAGAGATTGCATTAATTAAGGTTGTTATTCATAAGTAAAAGTAACATTGTGAAGTTAAACTTCAAAACGATCGCATGTTCATAGGAATAGATTCTCAATTTTCTGTTGCATTGATGTCGTAAAACTTTTCCCTCCGTATTTATCAATCCGAGTAAATACGTCCGTGTCTCTAACATATGACGTGCCACAATGTAGTAGGTATATTTTTTTGCTATGTTTTGCCAATAAACGAGTTCAATCATTTTTGTGTACGCACGCGAAACGTAACCTACTTCACACGGTGTGGCATGTGATAAATATGGAACGCTCATTTAGCCGAGGAACTTGCGAAGGAGCCTCCGGACAGCAGATTTCCAGATTGGATAAATCTTCGCGTCCAACGCCCGAAGGCTGCAACACGCATGCGTGGGGGAAAGCGCGGTAAAGAAATGGAACAAGATGAGGAAGACGAACAGAGTTTTACAGTAAGTTGGATAAGACATACGTTGACGTATTTAGAAACTTTAATATTTTTTTGACAAGATTTAGTGAATAATTCTAAGTAACTATAATAATGATTACAGTTTAGGATTTTAACGTCGTTTGTGTCTGTAAGTTTTATAGTAAAGGGTGTATGTAATTACTACTAAATTTTAAATTACTAACACGTAATCCATCTTAGTAAAATGAAGAGTTTAGTAATGTAGTGCTTTCTTTATTTGTTTTTATGTTGATTACATGAAAATCCACGCCTTTGTAGAGATAATAATTATTATTATTCCAAAATAAATTGACTGGTGAAAAAAATTAAATTGTTCGCTTCTCAATAAAATAATAATTTTTGTCGAATATATGCAGCACGCTATGACGCTTTTATTAATTTAAAATATAGCTTATTTACTTTAGATTACAGTTAACTCAATTGCTACATATTATAATTCAGCAAACTAGACACTTTTATGTGTAAAAAAGTACCTATCTCTCATACTTTTATCTGTTTATTTACGAATTTCATGCTTAAACTGTAAACAAATCTATATGCTCAAAATATAAGGGTATACTATTATTTACTAGTTTTATTTATTTAGACTTTTTATTCGTAAAGTGTTAGGACTGTCATGAAAGTTATCGTGAGAGAATTCTAGCGTGTCGCCTAACATTAAAGTATTTGCTCAAGCATTTATAGTCACACATTTAGACGATCTTGACATAAAAATTCATAGGCTACATACGATAGCACTTAGGTATTTGGGATACTGTATTTTATAGACAAATACAAACTACTTTTTCAAATTATATCCGTTATAAGTAGAATCATACAAAGATGTTTAAGAAAGTCTTTCGATTAGTCATGATAATAATATAATTCCCTAATCTTTTTGGAACACCTGGTCTATACAATGATAAACTGATAACACTTTTAGAATTAATTTAATTTCTAATAAAAAATATGCATATTTAAGTAGGTACCTTAATCAATTAATATTGAAAATATAACAAGTGTTCTAATTGACCTACAAATATTTAGGATTTTTTTTGGTGGGAATATTTACAACTAAACCAGACACTTTTTTTTACGAATTTACAAGCTTAATAACTTACTAATATTTACTAATTGTTATTTTTTCTTTGCTTGTATTCTTCGTAGCAGAAGAGTTTATTTTGTTGTTAAAAATACTTATTAAAAATAAACTCTTGACTATAAATACTTAGAAACTGGTCTTGGGTACTATTTGTAATATTTTATTAATATATTGCTGTTTATTTCAGCCTAAGCAATGTCCGTACCACAAAAGAAAGCATTAACCTACGAGGACAAATAGCCAAGATTATAACAGTGTATAATTATAACTTAAATAAAACAAGCTTGCTTAAATTGTTTTCTAAATTCTTCCATGTCTGTACTATTAAAAGGATAAGGATGAAGGTACAAAGAAACAAAATAATTGTTTAGAGACTAAGACCGAAGAGAACGAAATAATCAACGACCCTTTAGAATTGAATTCAGAAAAACAGCCCGTTGACAGTGACGGTCACGGCCCTTACATCCCCGGATCAGAAACAGACGCCGACAAGAGGCATGATAGTTATGAAATTTTAGTTAAAGATGCTGTTGAAAAACTGCACGGACCACAGGAAGATAGAGCAGAAAAATTTTGGAGGAAAGTAGCGGACAGTGCGAAAAAAGATGAAATTGATGCGGAGAATATGAAATATTCAAAAAAGAGCGATACACCAAAGCTGCCGTACGTGAATGTTACCCAAAACTTCAATTTTGCAAAGAAAATGCACACAGTTAACTTAGAACACGAACCTCTTCCAGATACTTTAGGTTATAGAAATCTGACTAAAGTAGGGGAGCACAGAAACTCTGATATTGTTGTAAAACCTTATGCAATTGGTTGGAAAGGTTATGGAGCTTCAGGACCAACCTGCTGTACTAAAATGCGAGTTCATCGTCCCAAGACGTGTGATCCCAAGAAAAGTGATGAAAAAATAGATGAACGGAAAAATCGTCCTGCAACGTCCGACTTAGGAAGCCAGTATAAAAAACCGCTTTCTTTAATGGACCTCGCTATATGTTGGGACTTTAAACCTGATAATCCCCGAGTAGAACCTAAAGCGCCTAAGCACATAGATGGTTCGAATGGCTCAATGGCTCCAGCAGTCTTTACAATGGTGAATACACCAAAAGAAGAAGTAAAGGAAACTGTTTTCGGACATACTTATCCAATATTTAACCAAAACCGAGATTTAGATGATGTAGGTCGTCATAGTGTTCCGCATTTCGAAAAAGATATGACTAAAGAAAAAAGAAAAGAAGTCTGCGATGTACAGAACTGCCCACAACATAATGATATTCAAAAAGATATAAGATCCCAGTCATCAAGTAGAAAGAGTTCAGCATATTCCGATCATAAAAGCCTCTGTGATGGAATAAATGGTTGTGGCACTACCTCTAATGGTAGTCGTAACTCAAACCGCGAGACCGCCAAAATAAAATTAAACCATGCGAAAGAAGTATGGAATGCTAATGATAAAAACAATTCAAAGTATGATATTAATCGTAATCGCCATAGTTTGGAGTCTTATGAGAAGACGCCACTAGCTCAAGGTAAATTACATCAGAGCTCACCCAACGCATCACAAATATCTAAACATTCACCCAAAGAGCCAACAAAATCTAGGGAATCTTTGGAAGGCAACGTCAAACATAAAAACTGCTTATCCTGCAATGGAGTAAAGATCCACCCGGAAAAAATTAAGCAAAAAGATGATTACAAATTCGCCTTTAAAGCCGGAAATCCCAATTCCATCCAGAGTAATAGTACAAACGATTCAAAGGAATTGAAAATTCCGAAAATGCGTCATCCATACACAAAAAAGTCTTACACGATACCAACTTTAGCCCCTCCATTCAGCATTTGGCGAGATGCAAACGCAACCGGTTATCCAGAACACTGGAGATTGGCAAGTGTTTACCAACATGCATACAAACCTCCCGAACAAAGACGAAAACCATTAATAGAAAGCGTTTATCAGTAGAATGAATAAATATTTTCGTATCCATTGTATAGTTATGGGGTCCAAGCAAAAATTTCATGGTAAAAATTAAATAGTCTAGATGAATTGTGGTTTTATTTGTTGATATTGAAATATTGCAACTTAATTTTTTTTTATATTTTTTATTAAGGTAAAAATCGTTCATATTCCATAAAGAAGGTACATTTCCGTATAGTCTCCCAGGCTTTGTTGCAGAAATGAAACCATCCTCTCTCCGATAAATTCGGCACGTTCGTTATTTGATGTCTATTAACACCAGCTATCATCCATTTAAGACGATTAGCGAGTTCCTCGAAAGAGGGATGTCCACGGTATATGTCCTTTTTATCTGAAATTATTATAACATCAAGTTTTTAAATCAAGATAGAACATTAAACGATTTAAACATATTCAGAAAATGTATATTATTGGAGTTCTAATAGCGATATAGAAATATTTAATTATTATCAATAGGTTTGTTGGGACTTGGTAAAGATATAAAAATTATATATTTTTAACAAATTTAGGATTCGACTATTTCGTAAATTTTTCAATTGTTCTTGATGTCAATTTTATAATTGTTTTTGGTGAAATATTTAAAGGTATTGTTCCAAACAAAGTTATCATTCAAATTTCTATTTGGATTTCTTATAAGAATTCACATGCCTCATGTGAAGCAGTCAAAAGACTGATGTACATACCATAATCACTATATATTTCTGGCAATAAGAACAAATTGATAGGATGTCCACAGTTAGTTATGTTATATGTTTTACAAACATTGTCAATATTTATCCCATTCTTATTCGGGTCACTGTACATATACATGCCAGAGTTTAGTTGTAAGTTTGATCTCTGGAAAGCTTTCCTGTAAAATTAATAAAAGTGATTAAATTCATTGTCAAAATACTAAAGTATCAGTTTCTTTTCAGTCCCAAATACTTTGAAATCATTTAATTAGTTTACATAGATAATTCAACATTTGTGATCTTAAAAACTTCTAGACTAACCTATAAAAGTTCTGCATAGTCATCACACTTTCAGGAGTGAAATCTTCTAAAGTGCATCTATTGTGTAATAGTAGTAAGTGGGGATGACTTTCTCCAGAACTCGTTTCCACCTCCTGATTTGTATTTACATTATTCGAGGCAGAAAGTGACGGTTTAAGCATCTCTGCTGTTTGTATGTATCTGAAATATCAGAAATTGCTCACAAATTCGTAAAAATATATAGCATATATGTTTTACATAATAAAATACATTTTGAACTATTCAAGTTGATTTTTTGTATAGTACTAATAGTTCAAGGTTACATTTCACAATTAAAATTGTAACATAAATATTAACATTACCTTATAAAGTTATAATCAGTAAACCAATCCTGTATGGCAATGAGAACATGACATACAGCCATCAAATATGAAGCAATTTGTAAACAATCGACTGTCATAATGTTGGCGCTCCTGGCAGTTACTGGGTTTGTGCTCGTCTCCTCAATTAATGATGGCGACCAAAGAGGTTGACAATCAAGCAGTATAATTCTGTCATTAGTTACAAACATATCTATACCTGGAAGATGGAAAATGGAGAAATAAATCACTTATACTAAGTCATAACTACTGTTAGTATCTATTGTTAGTTTTCTATCACTTACATCTTATATTACAGACTAATAACACTTTCTATCATAAAACATTATAATTAAATATTTAAAGAATAATAAATTCTATGTAATAAACTTATATAGATATTTTAAATGAGAACAATTAGTGATGAGACTTCCTAAGCATTGATCAGAAAAGTATTTTACAAAAATCAAAGGAGATAAATATTCACATCTCCATATTAATAAAAATTACCTTTAGTGCAATGAACACCTTTTTCAATACATTCAATGTCTTGCATTTTAAATTTCAATGAGTTTTTGTCATCTTCCTTAACATCTGTAGTTTCAGTGAGACTGATATTTTCAAATTGATTTTCATTAGACATTTCATTTGTTTCTGTGCTATGTTGGGTGGGAACTTCATGACTATGGAGTATTTTATGACATAAATCATCATCTTGTTTGTTTCGAGCAATCAGATTAAGAATCATTGATTTCCCCACACTTTGAGTACCTGAAATATGTATATTTTTTGTTTTAGCTTCAAATGTTAACTTTGAACTAGTAAATTTTTATAATGGTATACTATATACAGGGTGACTGGTGAATTACTATCGATACTTGAGGACGTGATATTTGACGATCATATATGACAAAATAAAATTAATATAACATAAATATTAATAAACTTCTAAGTAAAGTTAACCAAAAGTTATGTAATTAATTATGCACCGTGTGAACACCCTACAGATTAGGGATACACACACACACACTTTTAATTAAGTCAGGTGGTTTATTAGAGCAATTATTTTTGATTTACATGAAGTAATACTAAAATAAAATGGGAATTTAGATATTCACATAAGTTTCTTAAATTCATTGTAAAGCATAGTTTCTTTGTTTGTTTTATTGTCAACTGCTATATACAATGATACAAACCCATAACTCCAACAACTAAATAGTTATTATTGGAATCATTAAGGAACTCAACAGCTGCAGCATTAAATTCCAAATTTTCATCCAACAATTTTACTGGTTGTGACATTTCTTTCACTGGACATTTTTGCTCTATAATAAAACAAAATAATTTTTTTACAAAAATTCATTTAAAATTAAATTTAAGCAAGGTGGAAAATAAATAGCCACGAACCTTTTTTCTCTTTATTTTCATTTTGAGCGATCTTAGATGGATAAATGCCATCTGCATCTATCGTTTGTGATTTCGGACTTATCGGTCTGTCTTCTTTAGGGGTGCTCTGTTCTCGAGTTTTTAATATTATAGTAGGTTGCTTTTCCTTTTCTTGATTTCCTTTACTAAGATCTTTAGACGCATCACGATCAGATTTCAAAATAACTGGTCTTCTTGGTAGTGTGTCCTAAAAAATATAGATGAAAGTAATTTTCAACCTTAGTTAGGCTTAAAAGTAATAAAAATGTGGTTTTATACCTTAGTGTTGATAATTTTTTTCTTTTTGTCAGCCATTTTAAAAATATTTATCAGTGTCTACACTTATTTTATTTGAATTTTATAATATTCCTTTCACTGAAAATATCAACAGTGGCTTCGTCTTCAGTAAACAATTCTCTTGACAGTTGTTGACAATGACAATACATACTAGGTACAGGTAGGTAGAAGTTACCATTTTATTAAGGACATACCTATACAATATAAATAATATTTAACTTGAAAACGAGTAATAGTACTTCTTTCTTCATGATTAGCATCATATTTATTTCACCGTGGCATTCGTAATTCTTTATGGTATTAATTATTATTATATAAACAGTGCGTCTTAAACCGAGTATAGAAAATCAACCAATATATAATATATTATTTATTTAGGTGTTATATTATGTTACTTTGAAGATTCCATTATATTTTATTATTAAAATAACAAAAGAGTCGATTTTTATTATGTTTTATTCAAAAAAAGAAAAAGTGGTAAACATAGTATTTGGTACATATTGAGTTAAGATTTTGAGAGTATTTTATCTGTATTTTCCATTTCATAATGAAAAGAGCATCCAAGCCATAGATAAAATTTGAAGGTTACAATTTACAAATGATTTGAATAATTGAATTTTTTTGACTTATACCTATCTGATGTTTAGTTATTGACGTTTCATTGTAGTCAAGTTAAGAATTTGAATATGTTCGACTACAAGAAGTTGATTGCGCTCGGTATATTCCTTTGCTATTTAGAAACGATAGCGTCAACTGAAGATGTTTGTGTCAAAAAAGGACCATGTTCATGTGAGTTCTCCAATGGTACCGGTATTGATTTATCGCCAACTGCAACTGGATTTGCTATGACGCAGACTTATGAATTAAAGAATGATGGTTCGCAATACTCTTTGAGCACATATTATTATCATCCCTGTTATGATATCCAGCTTAAAATCAATACGACCAAAGTTATTGGCACCTGCGGAAATCCTTTGTCGGTAAGTACATGTCTATTGCGTGATTTTACTGTTTTCAAACTTGTTTATTTCCATCTAATTATAACTGGTTTATATATAGTTTTACCTTCTACTATTTTTCGATTGTGTTCGTAATTTATGAGTAAAACTATTCAAATTCCATTTATAGTGGACTTTCAAAGTCATTTTGCTAACAAATAGTTTCTTTTTTTAAAATTTTATGTTATTTAATGACTATTTTATTTTATAATATTTCAGATATGTAGATATACAAGGAATTTTGATCTGCAAAATGCAACGAAAGATACATTTAAAATCGACGATGGCAATTATGAGTTTATGGGAAGTTCTAATATAACTCAGTTCGGTGCAGACGGAAAGTCTATTATATACTTCAATGGGCCTTCGTAAGTAAATTACATGTTTACCAGTAGAAATAAACAGCATTCTCTTTTAAACTTGTAATATTTTATACGTTTATATTAAGTAAACATTTCAAACTATAAGTGTTTTATTACGTAATGCTAATTAATACAAAGATAACAAATAGGTAACATCAACAGAATAGTTGAATTGTTATTTAAACAGCAACTATATGATGACCATTGTATATATATATGCTTATTATGGTAATTATGTTATATTTTGTAGCATTTTGGTGACAAAAATATCTCACATTTTATCCCTTTTTATGCTCTAATGCATCAATAATAATAATTTTACCATTATCTGCCTTTTTTAGAAAAAACTCTTATAATACATGTTTGCCTTAGTAGTGCTAGTAATATTAATGAATATGTGCAATTAATATTTCAGTTCAACTGTGGTTATGTTGATATGTGCTCAGACGGACAATAGATTGCACATATATTCCTTAGAAGAACCCGACAAAATTGTGAGTTATCAATTTGCTGACATTTATATCTTTTTTTTATCAATCATTGCTATCTTTTTCTTTTAATTTTTATCAATTTATATAATCCGTTGCACACTTGAGTTTTGACATTGAAATAACTCTTATATCTTAACTCAATTGAGGCCAATGACATCATATTATGATGTTAAATAGAACCTCATTTTGAAAGACTATTCATGACAGAAACATTTCTGATATAAAAAGGTGATTAATTTTTGTATTAAATATAGAAAATAGAAATTTAATAACAAAAATTGTTTTGTTAATTAATTAATGACCACTGATTTAAAATTAAATTGATCTATTTGACTTTAAAAATAAGTGTCATTGTTAGTGTCCTTAAATGTTTTGGTAACAATAACACAAGATTAGAATTATTCTACTAAAATACCTTAGTAATTAAATTATTACACAATTTAATCATAAATCATATCTTATCTTAATGAAATATAACTTGGTTTTTTATTTATTTATAATATGAAAAATATTTTGATGTTTGTATATTTTATATTTGAGTTCTAAATGTTGTTATACATATTTTATTTTATTAGAAGATAATATTAATATGATTGATATAAATACTTATTAATTTAAATTCAATATACCTAATGAAGACAGTGACAATATGAAAGAAATGCCTATCTGTACTGTCCTGTTCATTTTAAATGACAGAAAATTATCATTATTGCATAGTATTTGATGGTCATGATAGGTAATGAGGGCAATCTCAAATGTATACAAATTTACTATATAATTTGTTAATGACTACTTTAAATCAAATTAGAATGAATTAATAGACTATTATTAATATTTTATTATATTTGTAGAATGTTACTAGCATTGTGTTACTTAACCACATGTATCCTTCAATTATATAATGATTGACATTAGAATATATATATCTATTGGGTACTTTTCTGCACACATCTATTTTTAAAATAAGTTAATATTATAATACTAATAATAAACTCGTAATTCTGTACATATACAGGGTGACTGGTGAATTACTATCGATACTTGAGGACGTGATATTTGACGATCATATATGACAAAATAAAAATTAATATAACATAAATATTAATAAACTTCCAAGTAAAGTTAACCAAAAGTTATGTAACTAATTACGCATCGTGTGAACACCCTACAGATTAGGTATACACACACACACGCACACACGCGTGCGGCGGCGTTTTGTTGTATCAGCACGCCGCCGCACGCGTCCACACTTGGAACACTTGAAACGTGTCCACACTTTATTTATTTATATGGAAATTTGGTCAAAAATTAAGTACCTATTTTTTTTACATAATTCGAATGAGAATCATGTACCGAGTATTCTCCTTAAATATTGATAGTAATTCACCAGTCACCCTGTATAATAATTCCTAAATTTGTTTTAATTAAGTAATATACCAATTCATAATATTTTCTTTCAGGTTTTGGCATTTTATTCCAGAGACGCATGTCTGAAACAGATTGAAGAACTTGGTCCATCGTTGGGTACAACTTTACTCATAATATTATTCTCATTCGTAGCTTTATATCTAGCTTTAGGTATTTGTACCAAGAAATTCCTTATGGGAGCTACCGGCATTGAAGTCATACCGAATCTGTCATTCTGGTCAGATTTACCTAATCTTGTCAGGGTAAGTTATTATAAAATTCTAATTTATTTTCTTATTTAAATTTTATTACTATTAACTGATATGTAAATATATATATTTAAGTTTTAATTGAAAGAAAAGTGTTTGTTTACCACCTACATTAGGAGCATTTCAAAATTCTTTCTTTAATGAATTTTTGTACTAAATTGGAAATATTTAATTATATGCATAATTTATTGCTATAAATTTTTTATATCCATTTAAAATGTTTATATAAGTGAGTTTTTTAGTCTATACTAAAGTAATAGGTCTGAGTGGTATTATATGTTTATTTTTTTTAATTCTAGGATGGTTGGGCGTTCGCATTGAATGGATTTAAGCTGCCCAGTCGCAGTCAAGGCCCTGTGACGTCACCGGACCCTAATAGCTACGACAGCATATAAAATAGAGACGCCCTTATAGAAGGGCACCTCGTACTCGTTGAATAAAAGACTCTTGAATTTCGAACATAATACTACGCATAATATCTTTAGTATTTTTTTTTTTATCAAAACAGTTGTGATTTTATTAAATTTCATATTAATACTTTTTTGTTTTATGGTTACTGGCAGCTAATGCAATATTCGATTTTACTTTTTTTTATTATATAGCTACTTGGCATGTGATCATTATTGTAGTTTTAGTTTTGATATATGATGATCTCTTGTTAAGATGTCCATTTTTATTGAGTCTGAATCTCTATAGAAAAAATTTTGTTTTCTTGTTTGAAGACCGATATTAATTTAATTGGTTATTGCCTTATATCATTTCGATTTTAATCGTGTAATAAATATCAATAATTGTTAATAATATCTTTATCATAATAATGTTTTTTGAATGTTGTAATATGACATTTTTATTATATAAATAAAAATATTATTCAGTACATAGATAGTGTAGTGCACATAAATGCAATATTTTATTATATCAGTTTGTTTGAAGTTTATTATTTTTCTAGTTCATACTTAGTGTACATTTACATTTTTTTTTGCATGTATAAGTCACATTTCACGGGTTTCTTTAAATTGTTTTTATATGTATTTAATTTGTAGGTTTTATTGATGTTTTGTTTTTCTTTCATTTATAAAATTAAGTAATAATATTTATTGTATAAGAAAAAATTATATTGAACAATTGTAATAATGTATTTATCTAAACCATTATATTGTTAATGTAAGGTACATAACATATAGATGTTAAACATAAGGTATTGTAAAATGTTTCTATTAATGAACATGTTAGAATAAATAAGCTTAGGATTTCTTTAAAATCAAATAATAAGATATTTATATTTTTATAATCTTATCTTGAATTATTTTAAAATTTGGCCTATCTATGTAATTAGAAGATATTATCTTATGCAATCTATTTTTGATTTAAATGTATTGTAAAAAAATAATTGTGGTAAAATGAGAAATAATTTTGTTCACTAATTCAGAGTTTGTTTATATATTTTTGTATTAAATTCTCTTATATTACGAGAGAGATCCTAAGACTTGAAATTTCAATCTATGCCATTGAAACTATTTCTTGTCTATCCTCAAGTCTATGAACTTCAAGTGCCAATTTATTATGTAATAAATTTGTCTTTTATTGAATGTTTTATATTTATATATATGTATATATATTTTGTACTCTTTATATAATTGCTATTCTCTATATACTACTCCCGTATGACATATCGCTCGATTTTTATTATAATTTTGGACCAATAATGATATTGTATTCTTATTATTCGATACACCTATTTGATTTGCACAAAATTTCAATGTTGTAATCAGTGTGAAACTTTTTATAAATAAAGATATTAAATGTGTTGTTTCATTTTTGAAGTAATCCTTTTTTATTTATCTCTGTCTTAAAGATCTGTCTCAATTAGTTAGAAGAAGAGGCCGTGGTAGGACGTGTCAACTTTACATTTGAGGCTGCTATTGAATGGTGCGATGGTAATATTGTGGATGTTTACGCTACCAAAACGAAAGAGTATCTTTTCACCAAGAAGAGGAAATTGTCCATTTTGACTTCCAACTTCTAAGTATTTATCTTTGAAATACTGTTATTTACTTTAGTTATTAGGTATCTACATTAAGTTTAGAAAATGTGGCAGTTTTTATTCTTATACAAAGCATAGGTTCGGTCGTGTGTGGAATTCTGATATAATATCTGAGCAAGAGCTTAAATAGTATCACTTTATTTGCTTGGACTCAGTGGAAAGACGTGCGAAAAGATTAGTGACCACAAATTGGTTAAATCCAATCTAGTCGGCCTAAAGCACTGGCAAAAAGTAGCCGGTGGAGAGTTTCATAGGAATTATACGCCTTAATTAAAGCATCCCCATTCTGTGGACCTACATCCTTTCGTTGTAGACTTTACTCACATTCGCAAAAAGCCATATACTTTTTCCTTCCTCATACGCACGACTAATGATTGGGATAGATTAGCTCCTTCTGTATTTACTTCGAAGTATGATTTGAGAGTCTATAAGAAAAGGATGAGTAGGCTGCTATTGAGATATTGCGTTTACCACATACAGCTCTCCTCATTCCTACGGGTGGAATGACCGTGAAGCACTATACAGATGAAATAATATATATATATATATATATATATATCTTGAATTGTAGAATGAGATTTCTTCATCAAGAAAAAATGTCTGGCCTAAATATTAAATGTATATCTTTTAAAAAGTTTATACCAATTACTATTATAATCTAGAAGATGGAATGAAAAAAATGGTATGTCAGTCGGTTTTGCTCCGGAGCTTTTTTAAACACTGATTTAAAAAGGGAGGTGTTTTATATGACCTTTTTTTATTATGTGTGTGCATATGTCGTAGGTCTCAAACAGTTGCAGTGTGGTGATTATATAACTTGATAAATTCCCTCATGTATGCCAGAATTTTCTCTAAGTGACAAATAATGCGAAGAGGTTTTAAATATTATATATTAGTTATAATAACTTAATTTATTTTAATTTTAAATACCTACATCCGAAACATTTAAAGAGTAAATAAATGAACACAATAAATAGATAATTATTATTTTTAGTAAAAAGATAAGTTTGGAATATGTTTTGTTCTTTAATTCGCTTGCTATGAGGTGCAAAGTTACAAAAAATGTGAAATACACTAATATATTATCCAGAATTGATGTAATCTGCCGTTGCCAAATCTTGATGAAACGCTTATTGAATCACAAAACCGAACTGAAAAATAAAATTTAGTAAAATATAAACACTCAAAAAAATTCTCGCGACAATGGACTCGTATTATAGAAACAGTAAGGTATCAAATTATAATCCATATTATTCCTAAAAATATATTAAGGAATTAAAAGTAGAGATCTATAATATGAAGATTTTCTTAAGTTCCTGTTCAGTAGTTTATGCGTGACTTAGCCTACAAACAATGTTTGCAGGCTAATGACATAACAAGATATTAAACTGTCTCAAGAGCTATTGTTACGAAATATTTTAAAAAAAGTTTACCTTAGGAGAATTGTCTATTAAACATTTGGTTAGAAGTGAAGATCTGTCGCATCCCTCTTTGCCATCGCTGACTTCTTCATTGTTCACTAAAAATATTTTTAAATATGTAGAATCAAGTAATAAATAGTAAAATTTAATGGGTTTGAAAGTAGAAAACCTGACAAATATATGTAAAAATAAATCTTGCATTATGAAAGATAAGATTTAATAGACAGAAAACTGTATGAATTCAAAAAATTCTAGTTTCTTAACACCTAAATCTATAAAGTTATTTTATCTGGCCCACGTATAATTCGCATATTACCCTACCTTTTTCACACAGAGAATAAAGATTCTTAGCATTATCCAATTTAGTCTTATCATCAGGATATTCTTCCTCAGACAACTTATAGGCGCTGTCGACTTTAAACATTCCGTTACTGTCCAACTGAAACATATTTTTTTATTTACCAGTGATAAAGTATTTGATTTTTGACAACACTTAATGTTTTTGAGAATATTTATTCCGTACCCAATCAACTTTTCGGAAGACACATGCCATAAGACATTTAACGTTCTTGTCGTCGGGAATTTTGTGGTCTTTGAGCATTTGTAATTCTTCCTTGGTGACGGGATGTTCCTTACTGCACTCAACGGCTAGTTGAAGAAACCATCTCCTTATCTCTTGGTCGGTTCTAGCCTGTTATAAAATTTTAAACCTAATTGAATGTCTTGCGATTAAGTATTAGGTACATCTCAATTACATCTACTTCTACAGAAGTAGATGTAATTTTAGCTTAACATTCTCGTTAAAAAGGAAAAACTTCATTACTTTAGGTAACACAGACAAAATGTTTAAGACAAATTTACATTTGTTGTTTATAATAATTCTATTGAATTTATAAATTTTTGTGACATTTTTACACACAATTTCGCATGTAAAGACTTTTGAGTATTAAAAAAAATTTGTTATACTCAAGTCGTAAGTAACACAATACCATATAAATGTAATACAAGAAAATACATATTTTATCGACACGAGTCATTACATTGCTGATAATTTTCAAACCATGGGTACTACATCTAAACTTACCAAAGTTAATCCAACAAGAGCACATATGAAAATCAATATTTTAAAAATAGACATTTTTTTGTAATTCCAAAACGAATACTAACATTAGTTTGACAAGAAAATTATTTTATAGAAATCACAAAGATAAACATTTAAAATAATTTTTTGAGCTAATGATATTTTAATTCTTGATCATAACTGGACGTTCAGAGTGACTTCACATCATAATGACAAAAAAGTAAAATAAAAAAAAACGATTTGTACACACACGTTATTTAGAAACTGATACGGATGTAGGAATTATGTTATTGTTACATTTATTTGGGTAAATTTTATTTAACAATAATCTATTAGACTTTACTAGTTTTTGTGTAAAAAAATGTAATAGGTAGGATATAAGACAGTGTTATGATAGTTTTTAATGTAAGGTTGAATGAATGTACGCTTACTCTAAGTATCGTATCATTACACTATGCAGAGAGTTAACAGTTTATTAAAAATGCTTCTCAAATTCTAGTACCTATTTAAGTTGGGAATGAGAAGTATAAATTGACGAGGTACAGAAAACGCTTAGTATATTAAATGTTGATGGAAACTTGTACTAAGCTGATCTATTATTATATTTATTGGTAGGAATTCAATATAGTGGACCATTTTAATAGCATTTATTTTCTAGTTTACATAAAATATAAAAGAATTAATGATATTGCTTTATTTATATTCAGATAAATAAAGCAACTTCAAACAAACAATATAAACCTTGAAATAAAAATTAGGCATAAAACTATTGCCTTGGTTAAAATATCTAATGTTTATTATTTTTTCCTAAGGTGAAACAAAAACGGAAGCGAAAAAAACATGTAATTCCATTTTTATGACTGTATTTATATCGAGTTTTGTATAACGTAATTTTAGATAAAATCAGCTTTACACATCAAACTGATATATCAGCTTGATTGAGATTGGCTCTCTTATTAAATATTTGAAACAGTACATAAGTGATATATTTTTATGTAGTAATCGAATTGAGTTTAAGTAAAATGTGATAAATGTATTATAAATATTTTCTGTTTTAAGTCAGTTATGATATGCAACTAAGAAATTTTCTTAGTCTTCTGTGAGAAAGTAATATTATATTGTTTACTTCACTAAAATCTGTTAATAAGCTAAAAATATGCAAAACTAATACACTAAGTGTGTTTCTTTCAAGACAATTCGTTTCGTAAATTAAACATCTCCGTTTGATGGACACTAAGTAGATATTTCAAGGTAGAGCGTATTTTTTTATAAAACAATGCAATTGCATATAATTACAGCTTATTACTGGGAAGAAATCGAAATAGACGTGAATTAGCAAGTGGCGGAAAAAATGTCCTCAATTTGATGACTATCTTACACGTTCAGTTTATAATTTTTATTATAATTTAATGTTAACGATATACGTTTAATGAAGACATCTTTTGTAATCGAAGTGATTTTTTCTAATTAGGTAAGAAAAAACAAAATTAAAAGTTTTTTTTTATTTTATTAGGGAAAGAAAAATATCGATGGGTTGTGGTTGTAAATACACTTTGTGACGTGGAAAGATGCCTCGCAGATGTCTTTATAGGAATCCGCTGTAAAAATTAAATTTTTAACATAGTAAAAATAAGTAAATGCAGAGATACTTATAGTTTATAGATAATATTCTTAATAATTTTGGTATTAGCATTTATTTTAAGTACCTACCAACTTTTTTACACGCAGTGATAGCTTCTTTTGCTGGTTCCTTTATTTCGTCTGGTAAAAGTAGATCTGCTTGTTTTATAGCAGCTTCGTAGTTGAGTTTGTTATTTTTAATCTGTTATTAAAACATACTTATTAGAATATTTGAATGTATATATGCATATATAAATACAACTTCAATGTGCCGCTAGTCATGAGTACGAAATAGTAAAATAACAAATTTATATAATCCACTTGGACTTAAAAACATACTTCTTTATAAACAACCTAAAAGAAGAAGTATTGAAAGAACTAACCACGAGTAATTGATCTAAATTTGAAGGAGAATAACGGGAATAAGGAAAGAGTCTCTACTCTCTTTCGTGGTGATAAGAAACCGTCATAAATTGACATCCGCAATATAGTGAAATAACAGACACGTTGCCGGCCTTGTTATAAAATGGGAAACTTATGCACTAGTTTATTGGTAGACTTTTGAAAGAGGGAGATTGTCAATAATTCACCTGAACACTCTCCATTATAGATTATACCTACACAATAGAACAAGCAGTGTTAGCTCACGTTTTAACAGAGATCTAAAGGTTCAAGGCGGTTTGTAAAATTTTAATTATTGTCGATACAAATTACCCGGCGTTACATAGTGCCAAGTGGACGTTAGCTTAGTCTAGAAGTGAAAATAATACTCTATGTGGGGAGTAGAGACGAATCTATGTTATTTGAGTTGAGTTACATTGAAATTGTTGGTTATATTATTATGTATTTCTTATGTTTAACTTACTTACCTATTTGATCTTAACACAATGCAAATGACATAAAAACATTGAGTAGAAAGATTAAAACTGCTCTGTATGTCGAAGTTAGACGTGAAGCGTAGAAATTCTTACAAAAAGGCACTAGAGGTAAAAACCTTCTCCTATTTTGTCCTTTTTTTATGAAATCAGATATAATTGTCATTGTTGGTTGATACTTACGGCATTCGCCATTTTCATAATGCAAGCTACGTAACACATCACTTCTTTCTCTTCTGCGAAAATTCCTTTCCCCATATCGTCTATTTTATCTGTTATAAAATATTTAATTCAAAAGTTATTTTATTTTAATTCAAGTGTAGAAGAATGTATGAATTTGTTATAAACTATGGATATTAGTAAATTATTGTTATACCTTAATTGGGAAAGTTTTGAATTAATTGTCCTATTCGGTAAATTATATAGTAATGATTTTTTTGTGTTACGGTAGTAGAGCTCATAACAGAATATATGATTCTAATAGAATCAATATGAATTCTAATTGGAAACAAAATTGGTTACATGGTTCACGAAAATATACTATGTATAAAAGATATTGAAAATGTAGATGAATTTGGACGAGAATAAATTATTAGAATGAAATATTTTTTACCCAATTTACGATAGAAAATTTGATTTGTTTAATGTGCAGACGATTTTAAGTGGAAATCTAACCAATTGAATGAAAATATTTATACTAATTTCTAAAGCATTTTTAAATTAAGCTCATGTATACGCAAATTTTCTTACCATCAGCAACGTTATTTTTTGGTTGACATGTTTTTCGCATCATTTTTCCAGTTGATTTTATTTGTTTCATTGTCATCTGAAATGAATTTTACTCATTAAATTAAATAATTAAAAATATATTGTAAAATCTTTGGCTCTTTGAGGTAGTTCTTGTCTTATGAACCTGCAAATTTCTCTTTGGCCTGTTGTATTATCTCCATTTGTATTGCCATAGTAGAAATTATTAAAATTGAGAAGGAAAGAAAAGGTTTCTTATAAGTGACAAACAAAGGCTTTGACAGAGGGTTTCGACATTTTCACTCATTCATTGAAATATTCCATTCAACGAAAAAACGATGAACTTGATTAATTCTTACCATTGACTGACATACAGTAAATACATACATTATGTACAATGCACTTAACATAAAATTATTTTACATACCTTCATATAGAATAGAATGATTCTAAATAAATTATCTAAATTCTACTCATAATATTATTCTTAATAATATAGTTTATGTTCCTGAATGGCTAACCCGAAAAAAGGGTTTAATAGATTTGAAACATTTGTTAGCCAATACGTTCATTTCGGAAATATTTGATTCTACCGTAATTGTTTTGAAAAATCTTAAAAAACTACTAAAAACTCGAATACACCGACGTAAAGCCAGATTTATTATTCAATGAAGAAAATTTAAATGCAATATCAGGGTGAAATGTAATAATCAAGGTGAAGCCGTTCTCATAAGATGGCAATAAAATATTTTTATGCCCTGGTTCAATGGAAGCATTAAGGAAACTCTTTTATTACTGCGGTTACCATGAGAACTGTGTATGATATGAATTTACATAATCATATTATTATTTAAGAATATTCTGAATTGTATGTATATAAACACAAATACGGTAACATGCATAAATCTTGGAGAGGGTAGTATTTGACATAAGATTCAGTTTTGCTTGATGGTTGATGATAAATTTTATTTGGTGGGTTCCTTAAGTTAATTTAATATTCAAAAGTAATATATATCTGATATAGAAATTACTTGTATTCCTTATAATTTAAAAAAAGATCTCACCGCTTCGCAAATGGTTAATGCTGCTAAAAATTTGACGACTGCTAGGATGTACATGGCCTGTCTTTGTGAATCCCGATATTGTGCCCGCCTTTATGGCAGAAGATGATTAATTAATGCCTGCGACATTTACACTTATAGACAGTGATAATATTGACCCCATCAATATGGATATTTGTGGATAAATAATTTTATTAATATTTTAACATCAGTCTTATTAAAGGTGGTAGAGCCTAGCTGTGGTCAAGTTACTGCAACTCGAACATGGGCTGGTTCGACCGGGGAAGAACCATCCTCTTACAGAAGATCGGCTTGAAGTAGCCTTTAATGGCTGCGTTTCGTCCGATGAGTGAGGGAGCCGGATGCCCTTTCCTTTTTCCCATCCTTTCCTTTTCCTTCCCTTAAAGAATAAGGGTGAAAATCAAAGCATTATTGTATAACTACGTAGATTAAAATTTCCGCTAAATTAATCTTTTTATTAAAGCAGGAACACTCTAATCTCTTACTTGAGATGTATAATTTTATTGTGTAACTTTTAATTACATATTCTGTCTCAATAAGGGAAACTACTTATTTTGTTTAATTTTATGTTATACGAGTGTTAATTTCATATAATTATGCTTTTTAAATTAAAGCCAGTTGCCAATACTTGAAATTACATTACAATAGACATATATCTACAGGGTGACTGGTGAGTTACTATCAATATTTAAGGAGCATACTCGGTACATGATTCTCATTCGAATTATGTAAAAAAAATAGGTACTTAATTTTTGACCAAATTTCCGTATAAATAAATAAAGTTTGGATACGTACTCATCCTTGCCGGCGTCAGTGTGTCGCTACTCCCCAACCCCCGCCCCGTGGCTAGCGGGCCATTAGTCGGCTATTAGTCGCGCGAGCGCCGCCGTAAGGTCCGTACGTTCGTCTTCCCGCGCGCGCGCCTAGCGATCGATCTTACGCGTATACCTAATAATAATCTGTCGTGTGTGCGTGTGACCCGTTATTACTTATTAGTAATTAAATATGGCTTTTCAATACACAAATGCAGAATACTTGGACATGGTTCATGCGTATGCGCGTGCAAATGAAAGCTTGCGGGGCGCAATCAATTTGTACCGGGAGATGTTCCCCAATCGTCGAGTACCTACGGCCAGCGTCATCTTAAACGCTAATCAAAGATTACGAGACTTCGGACAGTTCCGTGTTCCAACACATGCCCAAGGAAACGTCTTGTGTATGCTACAATGTATGTCAACAGAGAGGAGTTGAAATTAAAAATCAATAGTGCTTTCGAAACTTAAAAAAGTGACCCATTCGTATTAAATCGTGTGAAAGACAATATGTGTAAACGTGCCGAACTGTGTATCACACGAGAAGGAGCTCGCTTTGAACATTTGTTAAGGTTAGTGTAGTTATGTAGGTAAATAGGTAGTTTAATGATTGACAATTGTTGTAAATAAGAATGATTCCATTTTTAAATACGCCGGAAATACCAAGATAGGTAAACAGTTCATATTATTTTTCGTGTCAAGGTCACACCATTTACCTAGTCAATAAATTGGTTGCTTAAACGAAAGAAATATCTTGGTATTTTTGCCTGTCCTAAGCCAGGATTAAAGTATGAAGGGAAATGGATCATTTTTGTTTATCTAAGGTCTAACACGCGGCGGCGCGCGGCGTTTGGATGTAGGTAAACTACCGCGCGATAACTACATATACCTACGTACATAACTGTTTTGTGTCGATAACGCAGCTAGGGTATCCACGCGATCCGTAATTAATTACATAACTTTTGGTTAACTTTACTTAGAAGTTTATTAATATTTATGTTATATTAATTTTTATTTTGTCATATATGATCGTCAACTACCACGTCCTTAAATATTGATAGTAACTCACCAGTCACCCTGTATATTAAAAATTCATAACCGGAACTGGATTCAAATATTGTATTGTGTAATGCTGAGTAGACGCTGCGAGGGTTAGGCCCTGATTGTTTTTAGATAGAAGCGAGTTGGACGATCAGTTGGTCGATCAGTTGGTCGATCGGTTGGTCGATCAGTTGGTCGACCAGTTGGACGATCAGTTGGTCGATCAGTTGGACGATCAGTTGGTCGACCAGTTGGACGATCAGTTGGTCGACCAGTTGGACGATCAGTTGGTCGATCAGTTGGTCGATCAGTTGGTCGATCAGTTGGTCGATCAGTTGGTCGATCAGTTGGTCGATCAGTTGGTCGACCAGTTGGACGATCAGTTGGTCGATCAGTTGGTCGATCAGTTGGACGATCAGTTGGACGATCAGTTGGTCGATCAGTTGGACGATCAGTTGGTCGATCAGTTGGACGATCAGTTGGACGATCAGTTGGTCGATCAGTTGGACGATCAGTTGGTCGATCAGTTGGTCGATCAGTTGGACGATCAGTTGCCCAACCAGTTGGTCGATCAATTGGTCGATCAGTTGATCGATTGAATGAAAATCTTATAATACTGCGATCTCTTTGAAAATCAATGAATTAATTTGCCGACTAGTAACCGAAACGTCGCGATCATCCCTACTAATTTTATAAGCAAAAGTAACTCTGTCTGTCTGTTACGCTTTCACGCCTAAACCACTGAACTGATTTTAATGAAATTTGATACAGAGATAGAGTTGACCTTGAGAAAGAACGTAGGAAATTTTTCATCCTAGACTTTTGAGAGGTTCTCTTGGAAACACGATGTAACTGAACTCCACGCGAGCGAAGCTGCGGGCGGAAAGCTAGTATAATATAAAGAATTCTTACAAATATCAAATTGTCATCCATATGTCATTACGTATCATACGTCATTATATCATTATACGTCAATTACATAGAGCCTGTCAATTGCGTTTCGTTACTCCAGGTCTGATTATGTTTTGTTTTATAGTGACTGAAGTTTCATGTCAAGTCCCACGGGAATTCTGTCGAACGGGATAAAAAGAAAAAGTATCCTATTGCAATTTCATGGCTCTAAACTACCTCCCTGCCAATTTTCAGCTAAATCGGTTCAGCCGTTCTTGAGTTATAAGTGGAGTAACTAACACGACTTTCTTTTATATATATACAGGGTGACTGGTGAATTACTATCGATATTTGAGGACGTGATATTTGACGATCATATATGACAAAATAAAAATTAATATAACATAAATATTAATAAACTTCTAAGTAAAGTTAATCAAAAGTTATGTAATTAATTACACATCGTATGAACACCCTACAGATTAGGTATACACTCACACAGACGCGGCGGCGGCGTAGTATATACATACTACATATTACTTAATATATGTATAATATTAATATTTATTTAAATGAAATTGGCCAAGAATTTGCTTCTCTACTTTAATCAAATGAACAGATGTTTTGAAGGTGTAATGTGTTTGCCGTCTGTAAATTTTTGTTGTACCTTTTTTGAATAGGTGGAAAAATATCATAGGCGTATATATATGTATATATGATATTTCAAAGTTTTTCATTTCAGAATCGTCTCATAAATTCATGAGTCTTAAATATTAACACTTAGTTATTTTTGATAATTAACTCAACTATATAATTTTTAATTACACAACAAACCAGGGTGTACAATGATCTTATATATATGTTACAAAAATATCACTAATATATCTTTTTACTAGCCATATATGTCAGTAATAACAAAAAAAATATATGCTTATATAAAGAAAAATATACATCTTTTAATCAACAATCATATTATTTTCTATAATCTAGATTATTAAGTTAAGATTAAGTTTACTCAAAAAACATTATTTGTATGGTTTTAGCATATTACTTTAATGTATAGAATTGAGGGTATTTTGATACCTTTGTATATGTAACACAATTTTTATTAAACATACTAGCTCTCCGCCCGCAGCTTCGTCCGCGTGGAGTTCGCTTATATCGCGTTTCAAAGAGAACCTTTCAAAAGTCTGGGATAAAAACTATCCTATGTTCTTTTTCAAGGTCAACTCTATCTCTGTACCAAATTTCATTACAATCAGTTCAGTGGTTTAGGCGTGTAAGCGTAACAGACAGACAGACAGAGTTACTTTCGCATTTATAATATTAGTAGGGATTAATAATATATATTTTTTTACACACCTATACTACATATAATCGTTCTATATTAAATCTTATTTTATTTTTTATTATTTGTAACATATAATATATATATTTATAATTTTTTTTTGGTTGAAACATCGATAAATTCTCATCACTATCAAATATTTACCCTTTCTTCCTCACCAACGCTCCGAGGAAGCAGGAATTTGTTTTTTTATTACAACTGTTCTATTATTTAGTTAATATTATCATGAGGAACAGATGCGATCCTGGATTCATTTCGTGTTGATGGGTGAAATGGAAAATATGGAAAGGAAATTGCGACTATAATATATGTATGAGATAAAAATTAATTGCTGTTCGTTAGTCCCACTAAAACTCGAGAACGGCTGAACGGATTTGTCTTATCTTAGACTTGAAATATTCGTGGAGGTTCATTTCGGGGAAAACCCTAAAAACAGCCCTTTTCTATTTCCCATAGAAACTTTTTTGACATTAGATTTGACAACTAACTAATATGTCAATCATTCTGTCGCACTTCAAAACACGGAGATTTATGGTTTAAAGGTAAACTCCAAAAATATAAATAAAAAAACGTAACAGATATTTCTTGATTATAGAGCGATACGAAGTTCGCCGGGTCTTCTAGTATATATATATTAAAAAAATCATTGACACGAGCAGAAATTAAACTTGCAACTTCAGCAATTACTTTTCGGTTGCGATATATGTATAATGTATTTGATTTATATTCTGAGTGATAAACTTCTCCATGTCAGAAGAGGCCTTTGCTCAGCAATGGGCTCTGATAGGCCGATGACGACGACAATAAAGTTCGAAATCATGGTTAAGTCTTTCAAAATATACCTATACTTCTTTTTTATTGTATTAAGTGAAAAGACAAATCACCATACGATAATGTTATGTTATAATACAGAACTTAATATACATAATCAATTCCATATCATTATGAATAATAATTAATTATTGGAATCATTGATCTTATTATTTATTGATTTTATTATTATGTTGTTCTAAGTCTTGGAGGATTAGTTCTGCAAAGTGATTTTGTTCCGTTATTTAGTAAGCTAGCTAGCTGACATGGCTAGCACTATGGCTATGAATATATTTATACGATGGTCATAATATAAATACTCGTATCTTAAATATTAGACGTCTTTTAAATATGTCTTGCATATTATTTTGTAATGGTTGAGGAAATACAAAATTTCCTTCTATTTTATTAATTTATCTTAGACCTGTTTTAATATTTATGATAATGTTTATTAATAAACATCTTCTGGATAAATTATACGTAACTTAATTGATTATTTATAATATATTTGGCTATTATCGAACAATATACAGTTAAACAAAATTTAGTTTATAAGATAAGTATTTAAATGTAAATTCTTTTTGAGATTTGTCTATCAAGTATTTTTATATAACTTAAAGATTAATGTTTTATGAACAAATATGTATGCATATATGGACAAATATATCTACATGTACCTACATATATTGTCATTTTTTTCTTAATAATAAACTGTAAATTTTGATGTGAATAATTTGACTCTTAATAGTGTATAGTTTTGTCTTAGATGTTCTCTTTTTTAGGTATATGAAACATTTGTTTTTTTGTTTCACCAACTTTGAATTTCTCTTGGATATGTTACATATATAAAACTCAAAATAATCGGTACAAGGTACAATAAAGTGCAGTTCACAAGGTCACATCTTCAAAAATGCGGAGCACTCAGCGAACAAAGAATATTTAAAGCCATTATTTGTAAATCATATTAATAATCTTTATAAAAAAAATAAAATAAATAAATAAATAGATAAACTATTACTTGAGAAATAACTCGTCTTCAGCTGCGGTACATTTATATCATCAACATTAATAACGACGTTTTGAAGTAAAAAATCCTGACATTATTTGTTTTAGCATAATTTAGAAATCTATTTGAAACTATAAGGATCAACTTAAACTCACTGCAGTTCACACAAATTCTTGTCTTTTTCGGCATCCTACTGTAGCTTGAGAAAATACTTGATTTATTTTCTTTCCCATTATATTCGGCCTTAAAATAGAAAAATGTTACGCAATTTATACAAATTATATCAATCAAATAAATAATTTCATATTTGTTTTATAATAAACAAATATCGCTTTACTTCAAATTTAGTTTTTCTACCTTTTTTCCTTTGCAGGTAATATCGTCGGTTTTGTATTAGCACTTAATTTACAACACATCTCGATTCATCCGCTCTTAAAACATACATATATGTATTCAGAAGAACTAGTTGTCGCATATGAGTACTTAAAAATATTACAGTATATATTTTACCTGACACTCATTTCATTATAATAACAAATTGACGAACTCCTACAGACAAAAAACCATACCTATGTCAAAGAAAATTACTATTCATGTTAAACGGCGTTAAACGTTTTGGTTGTGTATAATTTTAAATGAGTAAATTAAGGGTTACCAACATCCACTAAGTAGTTGTGCTTTTGATATTTAAATAACAGATCTCACCCAATTCTATTTACGAGTTAACAACTACGTGTCCATCAATCATTTTGATATTATTCCTGTTGCGGAAAGTCAAACTAAATATACATATTTTGAATTTATTTTAATAAGAAATACATAACAATATAAAATGTTTTTTACAGTGAATAAGTTGCTCTTAATATTATATTTATTGTTTTATATCTTAGAACCAGGATTAGCGGTAAGAATTTTATGCTAAAATATGTTGACTATATTTTTGTCCAAAATTAATATTACATTTTAAGCAATTTTGTTGATAAATCAACAGATGACGAGGGCTCAGCTGAAAAAGACGATGACTATTATGAAAAATCAGTGCATGCCTAAGAATAATGTTAACAATGGTACGTATATTGAATTAACTAGATTTCTTTTGAAATTAAACATTCAAGGTTTAACATACATGAATAGTTTGCTATCCTCGGCACACCGATGGTATAACATAAAAATTCACTAACGAAATTGATTAAGTTGTTAAAACATTCTTTTTATTCCATTTTATGGAAGTAACATATATAGAATACTTTTTTATATCTATGTTTAAAAGATTACTACAATTGCTTACTATTATTGGAAAAACTTATCTAAATTTCCAGAGATCTGAAATATATAAAAAACAATTATTTCATCCTATAAGAAGGTCGAATTTGTTTTCTTTTAAAATTCATATAAAAGAATGGTTTCTAATTATTAAAAAAATTCAAGTCAACTGGAAAATCTTTCAAGTACTAAATAACAGACTTATAAATAGATAATTTATTTGAATTGAAGCAATTATATCGATGCTTGTGTTTGACATATATGTAGTAGTGGTGTATTTTTATTGAATTATATTAATTTCTTCATGTACATTATTGTTTAACACCTTACAATATTTTCTTTGTTTTATTTGACCTTAATTTGGTTTCTAAATATTTATGGCTCTTTAATATTTTAATACATTGTGAGTAGTTAGAAAGATTTCTTCAGTATTTATTATACAGTTGTGTTGGCAGTAATCTTGTTGCCGAAAAGTTTTTATCGTTTTAAGCTAAGCTCGCAGTCTTTTCTAGAGTATTATAACATAATATTAGATATCTATAATAGTTCCTGAACAATATATTACACTTATATGTCTTACTTGAATAAATGATAATAATAATTATTAATATAACACTCAATGTCACGTCTTATTACGAGCAATTGAATAGGTAGATTAGAATACTTATCACGTCTTTTTTCCTTGTTCTTCCTCACAAGTGATTCATTATATGCAAAAATATTGTTCCTTTCAGACAAAGTGGGACAAATTGAACAAGGAGTTTTCATAGAAGATCATGATGTTATGTGCTACATTGCATGTATTTATAAAACTATTCAAGTCGTAAGTTTAATAGAATATATATATTTTTAGGTTTATAATTTATTCAAAAGAATAAAATTAAATTATCTAGGTGAAAAATAATAGATTGGACAAGGATTTGATTTCAAAACAAATAGATGCTCTTTACCCTCCAGAATTAAAAGAGCCTACGAAAAATGCAGTCTCCAAGTGCATAAAAGAGCGTAAGTAGTAAAAGACATAATATTTGCTAAAACAATACATAATTTTTCATATGCAAATATATATGTTTTAATTCTTTCAGAGGCGAAGTACGACGATCCGTGTGAAGGTATCTTTTACGCCTGCAAATGCTTATACGAAGATAATCCAGCTAATTTTATATTTCCTTGAAGTTTAACTTACCGGTGTAGAGTCTTCGCATGTTATACAAAAGTATTAAAATAAAAGGATTTAATCGATAAATCAGATTTATTTGTTTTTATAATGTAAATTTTAACATGAAAATAGTCATTTGATAAAATTAACTTGTTTTTAGCAATGTAACAATACTTTTCTTGACAGAATTTGCCAGTCTATTGTCCCTTTGTTTGGAAAATGATACCTATGATTTTACAGTTTTTATTATAGTCTTAATGAAGATAAGTGACTAACAATTGTGTATTAATTGTTTCATAAAATACAAGAATACTTTATTATATGTATTACGAGTATATGAGACAACTGCCGTAGTAATTATATTGTTTTTAACCTTTGATCTGCGATTTAGCATTCTACGTATTCATTACCATGGTCGACATGGGCATTCACAGTTGTTCTGCAATCATAGTGAAAACGTTTTCATTAAAATAAACTGTATACATATGAAATAATAATGTTAATAAAGACTAATAATATATGAACAAAAAAAATAAAAAATAAAATATAACACACTCTTAATTGTTTTCTTTGATTTGGTTTGAATTGGAGAACAGTATACTAGTCGTTCTTTAATTTCGATGCTAATTAAGGAACTCAGATTTTTTGTTTCCATTTTTATTCCGATGGTTCAGGATTAAATGATTGTAGATGTTCGTTAATTGGTTACATCATTTAATTTTATAATTAAAGACACACATTTTTTTTCTTTTTTATGCAATGGATTAAAAATAAAATGCATTAATTTTAACATTCAAAATAAATTTTAAAAATATTATGAACTATATGACTAACTATCATCAATTATATGTATATTTTTGTTATTACTAGATCTTCATTTGCTTGGATTTTACTTAGTTAAGGCTTCATACGTGCATTAAACTGTCACGAACTTGTTTATGTTAAGGTCAACGGGATATGTAAACTTGTTTTAAGTCAAATAATTTCTATTTCAATTCTGTCTCTATCTAGAGCAGTTAATGTTGTATGTTGTAGAAAATAAAGAGATGGTAATGTCAGAACTGAACATACGTGTGGTCAACATTATTAAAATTAAGGTTTACTTTTGTTAATTTATCCCAAAACAATACTACAATCTTTTGTATCTTCAGAACGGCACGTTTTAAAAGATTCTTTTTATAAAAAAAATATATATGCTAATATTTTTACTTTTTATATAGAGTTTGTTTTGAAAATGCTCTTTCAATTTATTATTTTACAGTTGTGTACTCTGGAAGATCCAGAGAAAATTCTTCTTTTATTTTATTTACAGAAAATAGACATTAAAGTACTAAAACAACTTTCTCGTATAATTTTTTTCGTAGGACTTTTAGTTTTGCCTAGGGCCGGATTTAAATTTGTGCCGCCCTGGGGCACTGGAGGTAATGCCACCCTGTGGATGTTATTTTTATAGTTTGATATCTTATTTTTTAAGAATTAGAGTTACTTATTGACTGCAGAAAAATTATCATTTATCATACGTTATTAATTATTCATTATGTTCCTAGACTCTGATTTCTAGATTACACGTCCTTCCTTTTTAAAAAAATCATCGAACTTAGGAGTTTTACTCAAAACCTCTTGCTCCTTTTTACTTTTGTCCAAAGCGCGTTTAAGGTACTCATATCCACTTATTTGAATCCAGATAAATTCCTCATATCGATTTCCACGGCATTCCACCAACGTTAGAGGAAATAAGCAGTTAGATAAAGAAAATATCTGCTCCGGGACCCATATTTAGTCTTTATAAAATGTCCATCGGTTCGTAGATACCTAATAAAATAAATATACGATAAAATCTGGTCAAGGAGGTCCCCAAAGTCCATGCCATCAAGGTCAATAAATATTACGAGCTCATTAACGAACTAACTCGAAATAGGTTTGTCGTGGATTTGTGTGCGGTAGAAGTGGGAGCGGGAGGTATAACAGCTAAATCTCTCTATAACCTACTAAAAGACTTGGGCCTGTCCAGAGCTCACATTAATACATTCTTCGAACGTACGTCGAATGCAGCCCTAGTAGGTAATTTTCAATTTTGGTTACGTAGGTTAGGGAGAGAGAGAGAGGACAGCTTGGGCAGTAGAGTTGAACGTATAACGCGCGTTAGATAGGGGCGCCTCAAATCTACACCTGGGTCACAAGTCCCAGGCACTGCTGAAGCTCCTCTACCTGCAACGAGATGGACCCGGCACCCGCACGGTGAATCCATGGAATGCTGAGAGGTTTCGTCTCTTTGTGTCCATCAGCCATATTCAAAAACTAATTTGATAATTATGATCCACAAAATTGAATGTCTTTGCAGGTTAGATTCATCTAAACGTCAAATATAAAAGAAACTATATTGTAGGAACCTAGTTATATTTGTATACTGACTGTAGGTGCAGCATCTGTAGTTGACAGTTGATTTCATTTAAAAATATAAAACTGTTCTTTTAAATTCAAATTAATTAGTATTATTGGATAGTTCTCTAACTTAGGAAAATTCATTAATCAATTAAAATTTCTGTTATCAATAAGACATACATACTTAATTTGAAAATATTTTTAATTATTCAAAAAAAAAAAAACAAATTTATCAACTCCAGAAAGTAACAATATCAACTTTAATTTTTTCAAACCTTTATGGAAACCAATTAATTAGACTATTTTAATAGCTTTTATTTCAATTGCATGTATTATTATATACAACATTTTAACATAATATATAAATCATATTTCTTGAAAGAGAAAATGTTTATTTAAAAGAATCAATTAATTATACATATATTGTATAGAATTTTTTTCTCACTTTCCAAATTTTGCCGCCCTAGAAAATTTGCCTCCCTGGGCCCCAGCCCCGACTAGTAGACTAGCCCCTAGTGTAAATCCACCACAGGTTTTGCGGGAAATCGAGAAAACCCATTTTTTACCCTTAAATAGCTACCCCCATACCCTTCCCGACCTCAGAGCGACCGTAAAACATTTTTCCTTTATTTTTATATTATTCCTCTCCTTTTCTAATGGGTTTCATCCTACTATAATTTTTTCTGTTTAAACAATTATCGACACTGGACTAAAGCAAACTTCATTCCAGATAATTCACGGCATAAGTTTAAAACTTCTTCTTTTACCTGGCGATTTCCCAGCTTTAGCCAGGGTCTGCCTTACATGTTGTGAATAGTTTTGGCTAGTTGTTTTTACGACCGGCCGCCTGTCTGACGTCAACCCTCTATGGGAATAAGTTTAAAACTATTAACTTACATTTTATTCCTGGAGTACATTCTTCATTTCATTCATACAGTTGTTTAATACATCAAATTATTTGGCCAGTATGATGCACATTTGAAAATCATAATAATATACCAAAGTTGAGAATTTGCAAAGAAAAATTGCACATACGTTAGAAAACAAAAACAAAACTGAATAATGAGAAATGTCGTTTATTTGATATAGTCATTAGTCGCAGCAATGTTTGTATTGCACTGGTTAGACTTCCCTCTAAGTATGAGTTTGAACTTGTTAACCATATATTACAACATCTTTAGCTGAACAAATACATGCTATAGAATAACTGACTGCGTATTAAACTTGCAATCTCGTTATTAACTAGCCTTTAAATTGGTTTTCAGATGATAAACAAACAGTATTTCTTGAATTTCAATACAAGGAATGGATCGTAAGGAACTGTCTTTGTTGATACTTGTTACGATTTTAGCAAGTGGTACAGATGCTGTAAGTATTAATATTCTGTCATTTTGGAACCTTATTTAAAACTATGAAATTAAAAGTAAAATAAATTAATATTTTTCGGATTACTACGCGTATTTTATTAGTTTCATTTAAATGAGTACTCGCGAAAGTCTTAGATCACATTATAAAAGGAAAAAGTTCTTTATTTTAAACTAAATGATTGATAGCATCTATTATTCTTGGATGGATTCTTGTTAAATTTATTCAAAGAAATAAATACATATTGCTATTAGTTTAATTAAAGTTATTTGTAGTAAAACGAAATTTATAATATGCCTACTAAATTAATCTGGATAATCTAGTGTAAATGTTCAAACAATTATTACGTTCTATCGGTCACATGCTCTAGTTAAAATATGTCAAGGTGATCTTTAAAAGTAAATATGAATATATTAAAATATTGATTACATTTTAATCCATCTCTTGACATAATATAATAGTGGGATTTTTGATACAAATTTTTAAACGAATGAAACAAAACGTTGAATATTAAAAAAAATCATTATTTTCATAATTATATAAAAGTTTTACATTATATGAACGAAATTTTGATAAATAGAAATTATGGTTTATTTATAACGTAGGTATATGTAACATTAATTGATTTATTTGTAATAAGATACTTAAAAAAAATAATAGCTGACAAAAATTATAAATTAAAATAAAATTTAAAATATTCATCACATCTATATTAAAAATATTTCCTCTTAAATAGGTTTTCAATAATAAACAATTAATTTAAATCGAATTCATAGCTTTTTGTTATAAAAAAAACGATTTTTGATTCTTCTACTCCGTTCCTTATCGTTCTAATGTCACAAAAAAAAAACCATTTGATAACATCTAATTGACCACGCTCTTCATGCACCGGTAATTTACGATTCATGTTATTCTTTTGTATAATTTTAGATATATATCTAAAAACTATTATTTATAATGTTCATGTTATTTCAAAAGGTTTTATTATTACATATTTTTAGATGACCAGACAACAGATTAAAAATTCATCAAAATTACTGAAGAAGAATTGCATGGGGAAAAATGACGTCACGGAGGGTATAGTATTTTTTCATTATTCTGGAATGTTATAGATTTTTTTTTCTTTGTACATATTTGTTATATAATTGAGTAAAACAACCCAAACGTACTTTGAATGAATTTTCTGTGGTAGCAAAAGTTAGAGCTTATGAATCTTTTTCGGGTTCAAATATACAATATTATATTTTAAGTTTATATAAATATAATTCTTAATGTACCTCGCTTTTCAGACATGGTGGGCGAAATAGACAAAGGGAAATTTATAGAAGACAAAAATGTTATGTGTTACATCGCCTGTATCTATCAGATGTCGCAACTTGTAAGTTTTTATATCTTTTTTTATTAAATTTAACACCTTAATAATTTTAATACATTATATCGAAGGTAAAAAACAACAAGTTAAACTACGAAGCTTCGATAAAACAAGTGGACCTGATGTTTCCTCCTGATATGAAAGATGCAATGAAAACTTCCATTGAAAACTGTAAAGATGTTTGTAAGTAACCTTAAATATATTTTTTCTAAGAATAACTTAAAATTGGGTACAGTATTCTTTACATTAAAAGTATTTCATTTCAGTTTGTATAAAACGAGCAACAATTTTGCTCTACTTTTTTTTGTCTGTAAAATAATACTATATGACGTGATTGTGTATCTATGCATGTTAAACCAGCTTTCCGATAGTATTTTATTTATATTACCAAAATACTACTCATCTCTCATATTTCAAAGTTACTATATATTTAAATGTCTTTATTTTGCAGCCAAAAAGTATAAAGATATCTGCGAAGCTTCTTACTGGACGGCAAAATGTATATACGATGACAATCCTAAGAATTTCATATTTGCGTAATGTAAAAATACATTACCCACTTTATCACTGTTTCAATATTCCGATTTCTGTCTTAATAGCAATTGTTCTAAGAATATAATGATTAAAATGAATAAACAATTTTCACAATGGTGATATTATTTTAGTCGTTTATGTACATACATATGTGTTATTCAAAACATTACTTGTTTTACATTCATAACCGTTGTTTCTTCTTTCTAACAATCTTATGGAAAAAAATACAATCGATTCCAACAAAAAACATTTACTGTATTTAAAGTGTACTCTACTAGATCATAAAAACAAAAAAATATTAAGAGATTTGTAGAGTTTACAACTAGATTAGACTCTTTTTTCGATAAATATCATTCCAAGTTAAATTTTGAACTGATATGAATTCCAGTAATAAAGGATACTTTTATTATTCTGTACTAAAACACGTATTGAATGGTTTATTCTCTTTCACGCACATTATACACTTGTTAGGAACAAACAAACACTATACAAAAAAAGAAAGGAAAACAGCCGCACAAAAAAAAACGTAATTTATACCATACTTTTTTGGGAGTTAAGTAACGAGTATATGTCGTTGACGTCAATATAATAATACGTAAATCTACAAAATCTTAAATATATCTATTTATTCCTAGTAAAGATCGGTAAATTGAGAGAAAAAAAGAGAAATTTTATTTTTATTCAAAAAACTTGTATTTGCTGACGACTCAATATTTTTTCGTTGTTATTTATATTTATTTTATCATCTTCTTCTACGTGGCAATTTCCCTTATATGTTGAGAATATGTGACATCAACCCTCTTTGAGAATATGTGACATCAACCCTCTTTGGGAATGCATTAATCAATGATGTCTAAATACTCTTAGAAAGTACACATGACTCGGAAAAATCACATTGGTACTTGCCAAGGCCAGGATCGAACCCGCGCTTTCGTGCATGAAAGGCAGGCCTTTTAACCACTTGGCCACCACTGACCTAAACATAATTATTTTATCATATTTATTATTAAATAGTTATAGAAATAAGTTCATTACTAAAAAACGATTAAGTGATGCGCAAATATAATACAATTTAAGATCCTTCTCCTTATTCGTTAACAATAAAATAACGAAGAATTTTTTCACAAACTTATATAACATCGAAACGTCTTTACATCTTTAAGAGTTAGGTAAAAACCTTAGTAATGTTCGTCGGAAGGACGGTAGTTACACACTTATTACGAAACAAAGACTATTTAGTTGCATTTTTTAACCTCAATGGCAATTTTGACACTAAGGTTACATAAATTTGGCAAAAAGCATCATTTGCAAGCCTTATTAAGCAGATTGCACAGTCATGTTTCCTTCAAGCTTTACAATTTACTCATAATTACCAGTAATTATATTTAAGTTTCTGAGGAATATCAATTGAAATATTAAAATAGTTCTATTTGGTATTTTTATTTGGGCAACTTTATTAATCTAAATATAGATAGATCTTAAAGATGCAACATACAACTTAGACTTGCAATATAAGGGTTCCATATAGAAAAACAGACCAAACAGTTGTTGTGTAATGACGGGAATTTTGGAAAATATATAAGTATAATGTATTAGAGTATGAGATAAGATTTGCTCTCAGTATTTTCAAGATCGGAAGCGAACTCGAATAGCAAGTGACTAAAGATCTTATCTGATATGGCGCTTATGGTTATTCCAAACACTGACTCATAATTTAAAAAAATATATATTTTGATGCGAATAATGGATTTGCGATATTATTTATATTTTATTTATCGAAAGTTGATTTATTAATTATTATTGATGAACACTTATTATCTGTCGACTTATTGTGAATATTGTAAAATCATAAATCAGCCCATTTTTAAACGGAATAAAAACTATATTAATAAAAAGTTAAAATAACCATAAAAATCTACTATACTTTAATGGATTTCATTTTAAATATTGTAATTATAACCTTATAAAATAAATGTAATATTTCTAGAATAATAAAAGGTAGTTTAGTTGAATCATGTCTATCAAAACGATTATAGCGAGGCGTTAGACGTGGAAAAATCCTTGTTCGCTTAAGTGGACTTCATATCTAAAACTATATATTATTAACAATATGTAACTTTTATTAATATATTACTTATATTATAATGAATATATAAATAAGTGTGAAGACAATTGTGAAGGGTTTCATTGTATGTAACTTCATTATTTATATCTATAGATGTAGACAGAAAGACTAATCATTTTTAGTATATGACTATGAGTGTTTTACGCTCAGCGATGATTACCACCACATACTAATTAATTGCTTTCGATTTTCTTTGAATTATTTTTATGACTCAAAAATAAAAAATTTTATCACACCACCACAGGGCTCTAGAGCCGATGCCACGCCGGGTCGCGCGTGTAAGCGAAATTATGTACCGCGGCCATGCTCGGAGCAGGAGTAGGTACTAGGGGTTTTTAGTCAGTAAGAGTCTGACACTCCCTCTTGCTCCACCCAGGACAAGAGCGGTCATTTGATGATTTTCCCATCTAAAAAAGGACGTTTTTCATATCAGTGGTCAACTACTATAAAAATTTTAACACTCATGGAAAATACAGTTAATATGATATTTTTGACCTTATCCTACGTCAACAAAATTGTTAAGAATAATTTCATTTAATTACTGTTGTTTGATTGTGGACTTTGTTGATATCTTGATGAGCTAATGCTGCAATTAATGTAACCAATTTAGAATTTGGTCTGAGTCCTAAAAAAACTGACTGATATATATTAGTCAGGTTTTATAATTTTTATTATTTATTTATTTTAGATGATATTTGATGTGATTCGTACATATTTATAAATCTTTAAGAATATTTGTTTAATAAAACATTAACATTTTTAGTTCCTTATATTTTTATAATTATTGTATAATAAAATTTTCAATGATATCTATTAATAAGTATAGAAGAAAATGGTTGCAAAATCGCAGTGCAATCAATATATACAATAACTTAATACGTTTTCGGCTTTAGTAAATTGAAACAGAATAATAAATTAATACTTAAGCTTTATTGCTTCAATAAAAATTGAGAGTGTAATATTTTCACTTGGGTTAGGAACTGGAAGGATTTAAATTGTATTCAGTTGTTTATTTATATCTTTTATCAAATCTATAATTCACGTGATTGAATTCAAGTTTTTAAAATAATTTATAGATGTTTTAATTTTGTCACTAGGTTTTACAGGAAGTATTATCTTTTAGTTAAGTTTTAATAGGATTGTTTAAGAGAAGCAAAACAGTAAACTAAAGCTATTAAGGAAGTCACAAAGATTTCTTTGTGACTGTGTCTGTAGTAAGATTGATAGTACATCTCTAATGAGCTGCAAAATTATCAACTTAATTATTAGAATTTGAAAGGATTAAAATAATATTTCTAAAATATCTAACATTCACAAATCTTATGTATTAAACGAACAAAGTCGTGAACATATATTCCATTTAATAAATAAGGAAAATGTTTGAATCAACAACAGGTTGAATCCATAGTTAGGTATTGAAGATATAGCCAAATTATAAATTAATCATTAGTAGGTAATTATAACAAGCAATTAAAAATCTAATACATATTCGATATAATTCAGAATAAACTTTTTGCTAAATCATAATCCTACAAGGAATGGCGTTGCTTATTACATAAATAGCATTTTATAAATAATATTTTATAGTGATCAATAGTTCTTAAAAACATGTATAAATCGTGTTTAAGAGATAAAAATTAAATAAAACTTGAAATATAATAAACAGTCAAAGAAGATTATAGTGATCACTAATTTCTCAAAACTAAATTTCAGAATTTTTGTACGTCGCGTCGGAATCAAAGTAAAAAATAATGTGATCACCAAATTTACCTGTTTTTACGTAGCGTAAATAAGTTTGAGATAATCATCTTATAAAAAGATTGACCATTCTCACTAGTATATAAAGATCGGTTACAGAGAACATTAATCACAAAGCAGAGAAGCTGTGAAGTGAATTGTCTTATTTATATACATTATTATAAACATGATGTCTTTGAAGTTTCTGTTTGTGTTTGGTGTGTTGGCTGTTAGCCTCAGGAATGCGCGGGTAAATGTATTTTTCAATAATTATAATATTATTAATAGTTGAAAATGATATATTCATTTTTAAATATTTTTTCATAATTCACTTCTCTTTAGTACCTACTATCGTTATATTTGAAAAGCAATGAAATTTTAAAAAGTAGACAAAATATATTGTATTTAATATTTAAGGTGCTTCAAGCTTTAATGTGAAAAATAAGACAAATCTGAATGGGAGAAATTAAAGAATAAGTACTAGAAATGTCTCTCGATGCAAAGTGCTGCTTGTACATATATTAATACTTCTTTCAGGCAATAAGTGATGAAGACAGGAACAAGATCCACACGGCTGTTCTGCCTCATGTAGCTGAATGCAGCGCCAACTTCGGTGTTACTGAGGATGATATTAAGGCAGCGAAGGAAGCTGGTACACTAGGCACCTTCAACCCCTGCCTAATGGGATGTGTTCTTAAAAAAATCGAAGTGGTAAGTAGATTTTTAAACTATGTTTGTTGTTTAAGGAAAACAGATAATTATTACCATTGTTGCACACGTATATTTATAATATATTGTAGATGTACTAATCATTACGATTATACAAAGGTTAAAAGAAAACCGTACCTTAGAGCCAATACGACCCTAAATATTTCTGACCATAAAAAATAATTGAGACGTTCTTCCTAGGAAAGGGCTAATACAAAGATAATAATATTAACTTTTACATAATTCTGTTTGTATTACGTGGGATTATTTTTATTTTGGATATTTATACCTCTTATTCCAGATTGACGACAAAGGTTTATTCGATGTTGATAAGGCTGTGGAGCTAACCAAAAAATATTTCTCTGATGAGGCTGACCAGAAGAAAGCAGAGGAAATAATTACCACATGCAAATCAGGTACACAGATACTACATACATTTTTATAATTGGTATTCAAAAACTTTAGATTTTTTACCGTAACTTGATATCTTAATTTTATGCTTACTTTCAGTAAACGACAAGGAAGTAGGTGATGGTGAAAAGGGTTGTGAGAGAGCCGGATTGCTCCTCCAATGTTTCCTACCTTTCAAAGATGCGGTAAGATTAATTAAATAATACTAGTAAAAATATCTTAAACTTAATCCAAAAAGAAATAAAGGGTCTATTGAAGAAGTTACAAGTTGAAATGATGTTTACGGACATTTAATTAAAATTAAAGTTCTCTAGTTTTATTGAGTATATTTGTCATATTGATATTTTTCTTATTAATGAATTTATACTATTTTTGACTGTTTAGCGAACTTTCTATAATATTTTTTCTTTTTCATTTCAGTTCCTCAGTTAGATAGCTGCTCTCTAAGCTCGTGATATCATCCGATTCTACAATATTCCTAGCACATTTGTTCTATATATATCTTGTTGCAATTTTGAAAAATAAAATAATTGAATTTTAATACGTTTATTATTATTTATAAAACATCAACAAATGTGAAGATCCAAGGTTGAAGATTGATTAAAGATGTGATTAAAGATCGATACCAAACTGAAAAAATATATAAAAATGTTATAGAAACTATTTGAAATGATTTTTAAAACTTTCTTATATATAATTACTTACTTGGGAAGCATTTTCGATCATACATTTGTATGCCAGTAGTGCACGTTCGCAACCCTTCTCACCGTCACTTATAGTTGCCGAGTTAACTAAAAAAAAGTATTTAATGAATCACCTTATACATTATTTGTCATAAAAACTACATTTAATAATATAGTGATATATGTACCAGGAGAGCATGAATGCAGATAGTCTTCAATTAATTTTAATTCCTCCTCATCATCAAACACTTGCTTGGCTAATTCTATCGCTGACTCTTTTTGTAACATACCATTGTCATCCATCTAAAATGCACAAAAAAGTAAATAGGTTTTGAGTTCAAAATTAGTTTTATGTTTATTATTATTTAAGAAATATTTTATATAAGAAATTCATACCAAAATAGAATGAAAAGGCTTTTTACTTACAACTCCAACGTGTTTGAACATACAAGACAAGAAACATGATGCGTTTTCTCCAGTTGGCATCTTCCTCGTTCTGAGATTTGTGATATCTTCTGAAGTAATTTCATGACTTTTGAAACATTCTATGCCAACTTGTTCGAAATGTTCATGAACCATTTGTTTTTGTTCAGCCGTCATAGCCTAAATGTATAAAGATTTTAATTATTTTATATCCTTTTTAAAGTACAATAAAGTATCTACCTAATAAATTGTAAAGAGTGTAGTCATCTACCAATAAAAAATGGTAGAAGATACAAAACGATTCAACATTTTTTAACATCATTCAAATAATGATATAAAACAACTGAATTTAAAATTCAACAGAATTCACACCTTTAGTAAACTAATTCTAAATATTAATTTAAATATTATTTTTTTCAACAATATTAACCTTTTCATGTACGTAAAATAATTATTAGGTACTCATACTGCAGGACCTAATGAACTGAAACATTTTGAGCAGGGATACATTAAAGTAATGAATCGGTTTTAGTTTACGTTGAGTGTCGAATATTTAAAACTGAGGCTACTAAGGAGAAATAAAGAAACTTAAATTTTTCTTAGCGCCTTTAATTAAAAGTTTGAAACTGAGGCTATGAATGAAAAAAATGATATAACAATTTACATTGGTCTACAACACATGAACACTTGGTAGAACACCTTCTTGTAGAAGTGATTCTTTTTCACTTAGGTTGAAAACAAAGTATTTGTATACTCAGATTAATGTTTCAAAATCAACGACGAGGTTTAACTTTTTAACAAAGACTGACGTAATTATTATAGATCAAATCTTTTCTTGTTTATTTGGATTTGCTTTTTAATGATAATGATATTTTACTCTTTAAGTAGAATTAAAAAATTGAACCGAAGCATTTGCTATTTTATGCATATTTCATATTAGTTGCTTAGAAGTTTAATATTTTCTGTTTAAACAGAAGATTTTTTACATACATAGCTTGAATGCTTGAACCAAGACTTGGTAGCTTGAGTTGCTAGCTCTGCAGTAGCCGTACAACAACGCAAAAAAATTGTAAGTGTTTGAAATTAGAAATGTTCATTTGTTTTAATAGTTTTAAACTGGTCTTAAATTTTTATTATATTTACTTATAAATGCGCCACAACTTACTCACTGAGCTTAAAATAAATAAAAAAGTAAGTGACGTAAGTAAAAAGATAATATGTTTAAAAATTTAGAAGTAGAAAAAGGTTTTTCAAGATTTGATTGTAGAAGTGTTACAGAAAATAGAACCCATCATATTTTAAACGATAATGATGATGCTGTTTGTTTCTTTGATCCATAAAGAAGGATGAAGGAGAGTCCGCTGAACGGATAAAATTTAGTTCCTTTTTAGTAGGTGAGACAAGAAACATTTTTGGTCTTTCATATCCCTTATTAATAACTAATTATAAAAGAAGCTATTACATTCGCATTATTGGTGTTCATAAATATCATTCAAAATGGAACCAAACAGGCTAATTTCTCAAAAATAAGTTATTCTATGTTCATAACAAGGAAAGATTTTAAGACTTACGTGAAGATCATTAAGTCTTAAACAATCAATGTCTGTAAAAGTATTGTCCTCAGAAAAAAGCACTACACATAAAATAATATTCAAAGAATTTACCTTAGCCAGGGTCTGTCCTGGCCAGGGTAAATGTTAAGAAAAAATCATTTTGAGTACCGCTAGTTTCTAGTAAGAATTAGTCACTTATCTAACTTTCGTCTGTACTTACTGATGATTTCGGCAGCCAGGCATTGAAAAGAAAAACACAGAATAATATAACGGCAGGTTTAAACATTTTTAACTATCACGAACTCCTCGTATACACACGAACAGCCTTAAAGGTTTGTATCATATCAGCCTTTTGCTAATATATACTCAAAGCAAATTCCTAAATACAGTTGTGAGTTCATTGTATACTTATTATAAGATTTAATTTGACATCAAATTAGCATCAACGTACGATGTCATTATATCTAATGGTTACCTACAGAGCCTAAATTTGTTTATACATTACAGGATTGCGTGTAATTTTCTTAATAAGAGGTAAAAATACACAACATACACAAGAAGTAATTTCATTACTTTTAAAATTAATAGTTGTATCTGATGGTAAGAGTAATCGGGTGAGTTATAACATTTTTAATATTAATATAACGTTTGTGAAGAATAGTAAGATAGCGAGGGTATCTGTAGATGGGCCATATAGTTGTTCGAAATGTACATAAGGCGTTCAAAAAATATGTGAGATATTTAAGGGGGGAGGGGGACGAGTCAAATCTCATCTAATCTTACGTTGGAGGGGGGGAGGTCTCGAAAAATATCATGTATTTTTTTTGAATGAAAAAAAAATATATATGTACTACATTTGTCTATTTAATTCAGATTGTACATATAAGATTTAATCTTAAGCGTAATCGTTATACGATGAAGATCATTCCCTAATTCGTTAAAAAAAAATATATATTTTTTTTATAATTCGGCATTATATATTTACTGACTGTCAAGCCACCATCTCCCATGAAAAAAACTCTCGTGTGATTGGGGGATGGGGGGAGGGGAGGGTCAGAAATTAAAAAAAAAACACCTCAGGAAATTATGAACGCCGCGCCCCCTAAATAGTAAAGAAAAAAAATCCCTGTTGTCAAATTCTGTTCCTATATCATTTAAATGATTATTTTTAATCAAAAACATGTTAATGATTAATTTTATTTAAAAACAGAAACATTTAAAATTTCATATTTGGCTGGTACTACTTCAAATAAACTGGATTTTCACCTACAACTGACTATATTTATTCTAGTATGGTTATAAGAAAGTGACTGAATTTAGTATTCGATATAGATTTTCAAACCGAGACGTGAGGGGTAGAAATATCTTCAATAATAACTTACAAAGCCCTTATGTTCTCTTAGTCAAATTTGTACCAAAAATTGCAAGGTACACTTTAACAAAATCCCTACTTCTGACATTAACATCTTCATCTTACACAATTGTGTGAATAAAGTGGAAGATTAGTGTAATTTTTACATTTTGCACCACAAATTACAATTCGCTTATTTCATGTTAAACGGTCGTTAGAAAAATATATCGCAATAAAATAAGCTCGCGGTAATTACGATTGTCACAACGATTGTGTAGTATACAAATAAATGGGAAAATGAATTTTGAACATAACATTTTAAGGTCTATATTTGTACAAAAGGATTAATATGAAATTAACCAATATGTCCTTTGTACCTTAACTGGTATGAGGGACTATTGTTATTAATTTCTTCATATAAAAAAATGTTTACCACAATTCACACATTTTCACGTTTGTCACTGACAAGTTAGCAGTTAGATAATAGAATGCAGAAAATAAGCAAATATATTGCACTTTTTTCCGTAATATCTTTATTTTCATCATTAGATGTAAGTATTTATAGATTTTTATTGATTATTTTAAAGTAATTTCACGTTAAAAATGAATATTAATCGTTGATACTCTGTTTTAAACCCTACTTATGCTATAATCATTTCTTTCTGTAGTAAATTTTCAAGGCATTCGTTAGTTTCATATTTTTTGATTACGTTTTTTAAATTATCTATTTACAAAAGTAGTAGTACTAAACAATGCTAAACAATGCAACAAAAATTATAAAGTAAAAAAAAATATAAAAAGAAATAATTGACAAATTGAAAAAATATATATAGTAGAGACATATTGAGAAAAGTAGAATGGGAATTTGTATAGTTTTTTTATGTTAACGTTAAACTCTAAGATTAAAATTGAGACTTTTTGTTTTAAATTTACCTTCGTTAAAATAATTCTAAATGGAAGTATCATAAAATATGAATCCAGAACTATAGCATTGAACTCATGTTATCATTTCTATAGTTCAAGCTAAAGTAACGATCTACTTTGCGTACATAAATATAAAGTCCATTAAAAATATTGATTATTGAAATATAATGATTAAAATCTTCGTCAGGCTACCACTATAGATGAGGTGCAACAAAAGTATATAGAGATCATAATGGAATGCTCTAAGGACTATCCTCTAACAGATGAGGATATTACACAGCTTAAAGATAAACAATTTCCAGATAAAGAAGACGTCAGATGTCTTTTTGCTTGTGCCTACAAGAAAACAGGAATGGTATGTAATAATTTTGTTAACAGTTACTCATGAATGTTTTAAATTCCAGGATGAATAATATCCTTAATAGCAAAAAACATTCAATATAAGAGTATTATTTATTGATTATTTGAAATTCAGTAGTTAAAGAGAAATGTTAGGTATACCTATGTAATAAAAATACGAGTATATGTAGAGTCATTACACGTTTTGAGGAATCTTCACGTATTCACACATTTTGTTTGTGTGTTAATAGCAATTAGTGTGTGTTGCGTTGATTTAAATTAAATTAATGTTTTTCTAATGCATTTTATACTGATTGAATAATTAGTTTTATACACTTCCCCATGTAAACTTTTTGTTAATTTCCGTATTCATCTAATTCGTTCGAGCAATTGCCTTAAAAAGGAGTCAAAAATTATCCTCATGTGTTAATTCATAAATATAGTATTAGTCCTTGAATTTAAACAATGTTATAAAAGTTTTTATACTTCATCGATGCCATATTACAATATTGTTTTGGTTTAAAATATGAACTAAGGAATTTTGAATATATAACCAAAAGGCTGTTAGATGATATAAACTTTTGGTTAATGACTAGTGGCGTTACGAAACGTCATTATAGCTGCTTTAACACGAATTTTATAATAATTTCCGTTTGAAATTGACAGTTGCTACATAATTTACGTCATTTACAAATATCACAAGTTGAAAAAAATGTCGTATTATCTCGTATCATAGACTGAATGACGGTCGAGTAACAATAAAAAGTTGTATTATTTTACTTCCTGGTCATACGTATCTATTACTCTCGTAGTTTCTTACTGTCTTTCATGAAATGGGTTTTAGGAGCTATTGAAAAATTCTATCAATTTATGCCATAAGTTGTCGATTCTGTATGCTGAGGTGCGAATCTTTCCCTGTTCTGCAAAATTATTAGTGGACATTGACAGTCAAATGTAAGAATTAATAAACTGGATCGATATCTTTATATTGAGCACAAATGTAGAAGTTAAGCATAGAATAAGAAAATTCATTTAAGGAATTTATTTTTATTCAGCTATTTACATTATATTTATATGTAGTATCTCTAGTAAGTTATTGATTTAGTTATGTATAGTACCAAACTTAATCGTATTTGAGTTATTCGTAGGTTTAGTCTGGGCTTTTGTGACGTTTGAACTATTTTTTTATGAAGTGAAGTTGGTTTAAAAAGTTGTCCATATTATCAGTAGTCAAATTGTTATTCAGAAATTCTCGGGACTTAGTCATTTATTCGTAAATATTTCCCAGTACCCAAATTTCTCAATCTTATGGCACTCTTTTTAACCCTCTGTGCTGTTAAAATCACTTCGATCTCATAGTTTAAAATAAAGCGATTAAATGTTTGCCTTTCTCTGACATCTGCACACGGAAGGTCGAAGTAAATGACTGCAATTACACGGTCTGAGTACTGCAACAATGTTATCAGTATTATTATGAGGTCCGGTATATATACACATATGTGATATACATATGTTTCCGGTTCTATTTTGTAAATGAATCATAAATACGTTAAGTGTGAGTCTGCACTTAATTCCGTATATGTGGAATATATTTTTTATATATGAAAACTACAACATTACATTTTTTTAAATTTAAAATACATACTTCTATAAAATGAATTAACTTGCATCTTACATATGTCGTCTTTGTTAGCAATAAAGTTTTCTAGAATATAATCCTTAAAAACAGATTATTATTAAGTGTTAACATTAAGGAAATCATTATGAATATTCTTCTTGATAATATTAATATCTTGCCCATGCAAATAAATTAGGAATAATAAATGTATGAATCTAATATATTATGTTATCGTATTATTAAAACAAATTACAGATGGATGATCAAGGCAAGTTATCTGTTGACGGTGTGAATAATTTAGCAAAGAAGTATTTTTCCGACGACCAGGATAAGCTTCAGAAGGCACAAGAGTTTACTGATGCCTGCGCTGGGGGTGGGTATACAAGCATTGGTTCTTTTTCTGTTCTATAGCAAACAACTAATATTGAAACGTTCAGAAATGAAGATATTGCTGAAATGTTTTATCGTTATAAACTTCTATTATAATATAATTTTAGTTACATGGTTTTTATGCATATAGTAAATACGTAATGTATGTAATGTAATGTAATGTATACGTAGTTCGGTCAAATTAAATCAAGAAATAAGAGTGAAGTTACATAAAATTACAAAAAGCTGACAATTTATTAGATAGTTCAAAATATATTTATAAATAAAATTTTAAAGTTCCCCATTTTTCCTCTGAAATAAAAAAAATATTCAAGGTTAAATCCTAAAAGTTGTTCTTCCTGATGTTCTTATTATTTTTCATCTTCATGCTATTTACGAGTAATTGCGTTAATAGCGATGCATTGCATGTTACTCAATGAATCAAACGAATCCTCCACTATTATATTCAGCATTAGAGCATGACTGAATTCCAGAGAACAAAACAGTCCGAGTTTTTACAACAACATTTAACACCGCATCCATTTTAACAGTTACCAAAACTTTGGTTCACCAGTTTTTCCGGCCGAGGTGGAAGTAAAATTTGAACTGATTCTAATGTTTTGTTGACCAACTTTCAACCCAGTCTGTAGGTTAGACTAAACTTGAATAAAGTCACAAAAGAACGTGATTGTATACACGAAGGAATTGTTGTGAGCAGGAACTGAGGCTGAAAGAATACAGGCTACTTGAACTTATTTTTAACTTTTAGTATTTTTAACGAAACATGCATATCTAAGCAGGTAGTTATTTTTTTAGTACGTCCGAACATAGTAGGTGGTAGACTCTAGCTATGGTCAAGTTACTGCAGCTCGAACATGGGCTGGCTCGACCTGGGAAGTACCACCGTCTTACTGAAGATCGGCATGAAGTAGCCTTTAATGGCTGCATTTCGTCCGATGAGTGAGAGAGCCGCTTGCGCTTTTCCTTTCCTTTTTCCCTTTTTTATAAATTTATGTAACTTCAAATGTTTAAATTAACCGGACTATAAGCATAGTTACCATAACTAGCGTTAAAGCACTATTACTTTTTTAGAGATATTTCTCTAGCAACACAGTCTTTATATGTATATATTAAGGAACTTCGTTCGGATTTTTAAAAATAAAATAACAGTAAGACATTTGACAATTTGACTATGCGATATTAATTAAAATGAACAAATATAAAAGGTAAATAAAGGAATGAAATGATAACCTGCTAACTCCAGTTAAACAACAATTAAAGTACTTACAGAGTAATATCCTTAAAATAGCCTTAGACTAATTGCTAAACCAATATTAATAGTCGAAAATCCACAAGCGATGTTGCCTCGACGACGGACCACCAGAAAGTGCAGATGTTTCTTTTTGCGCACTGCTTCTATTTTGTTTCTTTTCCAAGGAGTTCCTAACTCGGCTTCTATTTTGTTTCTTGACCAAGGAGTTTCCTAACTCGGCCTCTCCTGACTCTTGGTCGTCCTCGGCCACATTCTCTCTGTTTTTCAGTAGTAGCCTCGCCTACTGCGCCACCTTCCCGATCTTCGTCTTCAAGGTTTGGCATAGACGATCCGGCCGAAGCACCTTTAACATTGTCATCCTGAATTTTGAAATAACATCACCATTACTATCGGAAACATTATTGTTTGCATGAGTGTAGTGTCCAAATGGTTTTCAAATAAACAAAGTAATGTAAGCTAAACGGCATCCAAGACAGATAAAGTGAAAATAAAGAAAAAGGTGTGAAATCGACGGTATCCCAACAATTTCACATCCCCACAGTACATTACCATTGTCGGGTGACTCACGCCTTTGAAGGGCTACCAACACCATAGAAGTGCAGCTCATGCCAATGCGACTCACGCAATCGGCAACTTCCATCACTGGCGGCTCCCGTCAGTGGCGACTCCCGTCAGTGGCGACCAACGCTGATGGCGGCTGATGCAACTGAGGACAAACGTTAAGGGCGACTAACGCCCGTGCGACTAACGCACATGACGACACACGTCAAAGGCGACTAACGCCAAGGCGACAAACGCCTATGCGACTAACGCAACTGACGACACACGTCAAAGGCGACTAACGCCAAGGCGACAAACGCCAATGCGACTAACGCAAACTGACGACACACGTCAAAGGCGACTAACGCCAAGGCGACAAACGCCAGTGGTGATGAGTAGACTTGCGTCTTGAACTCCCACCCGGCAGCCGGTCAATGAGACGCCTGCGGTGTCTCGAACCTCCACCAGCTGCAGGCCAGCGGGATGTCCCCGTCTGAGAACAGTCGTTAAAAGAAAATGAGCAAAGTGACAAAACAGTTCAAAAATTTCACCATCGAATACTATAGCACCAGTATCTGGGCACCATTCTAAATTCCATGGCATCACACGTTGAGTGGTTGGTTGAGCTGATTTAAGAGCATTACATTACATTGGATTACAATTACAATTTTAAACTGGATGCCAACTAGATTGTGGTGGAAATATTTTAAGGCCCTGACCTTATTTCACTATTGTAATTAATCTCTATTTCATGTACCGCGATCATACACGAATGCGGGATTACGCGCCCCAATACGAAAAATATGTCCTACTCATAACGAATTTTCTCAGGTTGATATTCTACGTCATAACTCTGCCGCGTTTCACAGCAAGTTGCGGGACGTATTATTGAAAAAAGAATAAACCACCTAGCAGTCCTGTTTTTCATTTACATTGACTGGGAATTTAGTTTAGTTTGTTTTAAGTATTGGATATTCTCTGCACATTCGCCATCGCTCCCTTCACATACTAGATTAGGTTTACACATCGCCTTTAAAATTTATTTATTAGTGAGGTACGTACCCAAGCATCCTCTCATTTTTACTTAGTTATATTTCTTGGTGAGAAATGTTTGAGGACACAGGTATTTTGTCTTTAATATGCTGTATTGTTGTTTATATTTGTTTTGTTATACTCCTGTGATCTGTTTTTTTTCTCCAATAAACAAAATAAAATAAAAATAAAATTGCAGATGAGTTCATGTAATGATGTAATTGCAGAGCCTCCTCCTTTCTAGCGCTCGGGCTAACCTGACCACCACTTATATGTCTGTCTAAGTTCTCAAATTCGGTATTCAGAAACGAGTATTTTATTTTAATATTGATCGAAAAAAATAGAATTCTACCTTTACCTTTTTTTAGCATTAAAATTCAGAAGAAGTACTTTGTTGATATAAACGAGCAAGTCATCAGAATCAATGAATTCCCGAAGCATATCATTAATTGATAATAGGTTTGTAAACAATAGATGAGTTTGTCAAACCATATGGCATCTTTCAGTATTCGTAGTTCCCTCCTGACGCGGACGTAACGAAGCTTGTGTAGTGAATACAGTCGTCCCTGATTCTCATTTCATGAAGTCGCCATATCAGGGCCGGTGACGAAGTTATGTCATCCTAAAAAAATCAATTTAATGGTCAATAAATGAAAACGGATATATTTCCTTCTCTGTATTGCGAATAAGTGCTCGAAAATCTTTTTCGTCACTGAAATTATTGAGCTGGCATATTGGGATCGAGATTCCCTAATGATGCCTTTATCTAAGAGATCCTTCATTATTTCGCTAACTTGTACCATCTTCCTGTAAAATAAATTGTATGGGCGACAAGTTATTGGAATTGAACTAGTAAGTTTGATATTCATCTCACCTATACTGTACTGTAGTGGCAGCGGTACACAAGAAATTCCGAGAAAGGCGACAACACAAACATTGGTAATTCCAGATTACTACCTGGCAGAGGGATTTTATATAAAGAGTTTTCGGTGGCTAGTACTTGATTAACCTGACTGATCCCAGCGAGTGATATACTGTTGTTGTTACTCTTACATACATTACTCCAACACGATTCAAAACATCTGTAGCTATTCATGCAGGCTGACGGTACTACTACTAGATCTTAAAATGAAATATTGCTGAATTCAATAGTTACTGTGTTGTGAGGAGTGGCAAAGGTTTCGTATTCATTAACGTCTCGTAATGTACATCGTATTCTTGGATTGGCAAGAAAGTAATTTAATAAGGTCAGAAGAAATCAGTGATATGATGTGATCACCAATATTGATAAATATGTTAATCAGTATGCACTATCAACTGCACGAACCACATCGATATTTCTCACCAGCTTCGGTTAACATATGTTTACATTTTGGTAGTTAGTTAATCCTTACCTATTCTTGACAAAACATGCGTCTTCACAGTTTCCTGTAGTTTTAATAAATGCGCGTATTAAGACGACTTAGCAGCGGGATTATCATTTTATTCTGAAATTGGTTAATGTTGGTTTGTTTATTATTACAATTCCAAGTTCTGCAGATAAATCCTTAACCAATCGTAAACGTTATAATGTACGTCTCACATTCCCAGCGTATGTCGTATATTAGTTGTATGTTGTGTTCATACATGCAAAGGAAATGTTAGCGGAGTCCAACTTCTGAGAACAGAGAGGTCTTAAATGAGTTTTAAAAATATCCATGTACGACCATTTGTGACCTATGAATTTAGTTATGTCTTGGCGTCGGCTTTTAAATAAGATGCTTCCGGGAAAAAAACACTCATGATCTTCCACTGTCCACTATCATTGTGCGATCTACCTCTAGACACAATAAATCAATCAGAAGAATCAAAAATTGACACGTAATAATGAAGCGATTTTATGAGTGCGAGATTCTTAAGGGCTTCTGTCATAATGGTAAAATACGAAACTGACATAGTATCGGGATAGCGAACAGTGGTATCTTGATCGTGAGTCGTAGTCTGAGGGACATCGCTCAAGTTGACTAAACTATTTACGTTTGGTGATTCGTTGCCACTATTAACTATGTGATTGTGACCTATAGACACATTTCTTACGACCGATTCAGCAACATTTCCTGATAATTATGTTGTAACTCTACGACACTATTATTAAACTGATCGACAGCTTTGAGTCTTAC